TGCAACAATACAATACTCTATCAGGATCAGTCACATCAGGATGGAACGAGACGAGACACGAGAACTGGATAAACTGAAGAAGAGGTGATAGTGAAGACTGCCCAGTCAACACAGTCAAAAACACAACTCGAGGGAAAAACATGCGATCCCAACAGAGCAATTGAAAAGTGAGCTTGTTCTTCGATTATCGATTCCTGTTTTTCTACACTGTGAGGATCAGGTACCCACCGTAATACAACGTTGCTGGATTCTTTGCCCAATGTATATCTCAATAGCATCCCAGCCTTTGAGAGCTGGGACAGAGTAAGGGACACAGACTGCCTTTCGTCTGCTCTGTCAGCCATTGCATGCGAAAAAGTCGGATAATTGAAGGGAAAAAAATCAGGAATCGAGAAACACGAATCTATAATCGAAAATCGGGAATCAAAATGAGCGCTCTATATATTTTGTCGCATTCAGCATCCCATAGCATTTGGGATAAGGATTTTTCTATGCAGGTTCCCACTAAAGTACATGTATGCTACAATTGAAGAGCTATAATTATTACATGTGTTCTAAAGGTTCCCACTGGGTGCATGGACTACTGTCCATTGTCCAACTCTGCTGTAGAGAGCAGATTATTAAGCACTAGTTCGTCTTTTGTGTCTTCTTACTGTCACAGGCTCTCTATGCCTCATTCCCAGACTCTCTCTATCAACACACAATTTTTGTGTGTGACATTTGACCCCCAGGTTAAGCGGAGAGTTGAAGGGGCCTTGTATATTTCGTCATGTGAGCTACATTGGGTAAACACTAGACAGCGTTTGACGCTTGACTGGTAGCCAACATAGGCAATACGGGATCTTGAAGAGAGCCTAGTGAAAAGTGACGTCACTACATAGGCATCCCTGGCAGCACAGCCATTGGAGCAACTCTGCGCAATGGCTGTCTGACACGCTTTGACAAAGCGTAACAGAAAAACACATACCCGTTATTAAAAAAAGACCGTACCATACCTCATACACAAATAAAATACCATGATGAAATGACCGCACCCAAATGTAAAAGACGATACTACCTACAGTACATACCATAATAATGATGAAACCACTGTACATCCTAATTGAACAAAGTACACCACAGTGTATTGTTCAGCACTTCTCGGAATGACATGCCTTTCTCAACTATTAGCGACAAATGGCAGCGTCCAGCTCTGTAAATTAATTTGCGTACATTATCCAGTAGCTGCTCATACATTGACAGGATTGGGGATGGGTAGCTAGGTCTATTGTCTAGCATGTGCAAAATGGTGACAACGCTTGATGTGTTGCTCACCTCTGTCTCTGTTGAGTGCCTCACCAAACCATTCTACTGTAGCATAGGAGTGACCAGCTGTCTGTTTTCAGAGCAAGTTGCCTTTGCAAACAGACAGTCACTGCACAGCACACAATAATGCTATGTGGGCTTCTTTTAGCTGTGTGTTGATCTTAACAGGCTGGGGTGGAGAAAGATAAAGAATCTGCAGTTGTGGACTGAACTGGAAGCAGCCCTTACCCTAGTTCATACTTTCTACTAGAGGCTATCCCATTGTGTGAAATTTAATAATAATGGTGTGCAAAATCTGTTACTCACTCAGATAATGCATTGTAGAATGTCCACTGTCTCATCTAACCACAGGGCCGGTTTATAATTAGTGATACTTCCAGCAAACATGTCCTCTAATCGGAGTAATCCAGGCCAATGGTCCTGTGTTTTTGCTCCTTTTTTATAGGTGGGCACCTAGGACACATATAGGATAACAGGGCATTGTATGTATCCTAAATGCCCATCTATAAAAATGGAGCTATATAGGAACGTTAGATGACTCTCTTATTAGAGGTCACCTATTAATTGCTTGCTGGCACCGTTACTCATGAAAAAGCTCATACAAGGGTCATTGCTTGCTATTATTATCATCAATTCACAGTCTCTTATATATCGTTCACGCACCGATCACGAGAATGTGCAAGGAAACAGTACTCTCTTGCAATCATTATCAATGTTTAGTGAACAGTGCTGCACTACTATACAATGCGCTGTCTGTGTGTGTTTCTTTCCCTGCCATGCTCTGGGCACGTCTCTTGCTCATACGGCTGACACGAGCAACAGTGCTTGCCTGACTTTTGTGCATGTGTTTTGGGTTTTTTTTTGCTGACTTATAGGTGATAGGGGTAGGGACATGACCTGGACCTTTGGTGGACGTTTTGCATAGCGTAAGGGATCGAGAGGTCTCATGTTCACTTCATTTGTGTGTATTTTCATCTACCATGGGCACGAGACTAGCAAATTCATGTACATGAAACACTTACACGACAAAAACAACTATGCTAATGAATATCAACTGCTATTCATGTCCCTGTGCTGTCTGTGTGTGTTTCTTTCTCTGCCATGCTCTGGGCACGTCTCCTAGCCATCTCTTGCTCATACGGCTGACACGAGCGACAGTGTTTGCGGAATTTCTGAATCTCCCTCTCTCTAAACCCCGCCCCACATCCAATACAAGTGAGGTTCGGGTCCATCTCCTGTTCTGCTGTGTACCCCTCCTCGACGACGTCGTCTTCCACGGTCGGAGATGGGTGTCGAAGATGAGGCTGCAGCTTCTCACAGCCCACAGAGTGTCGTTTGAAAGCCTGGATCTCTCCCTCTCGAAACTGCCGCTCGCAACCCTTGCATTTGAGATTAGGGTCGAATGCAGGGGCTGACCCCGGCCCGGAGGCTGTGCTGGCATTGCTCATGGTCGACGAGAGCCCTGAAAAGTGTCCGTTTCCCGGAAAGTCGTGAAAGTCGGTGGCCACCGGGTCTGTTGGACAGGGAGAGTGACGATCGAACTGTCGCGTGCTGGCAGGGGTCGGAGGGTGGGGGGCATTAATTGGGGTGAGGAAGTTATCGGCCGAGGAGGAGGAGGTGGTGACAGGTATGGGCGTGGTGAAGGAGATGTTGACGTATTCGTGGTCCCGTGGAGATCGCACCCCTGGGTTGAGTCCGTGCGTTGGAGGACACACCTGCACATAAAGAGTTTCCTTTAGACACACAATGCCAGAAAGGGCAGTATAAATTAGTTCCAGCCAAGGTGTCTACTGTCACGTAGTGGACCCCGCTCGACAGAAGCCTTGTTGTTTCACTATCTAGGAAGCAACTTAGAGCAAAGGAACTAGTAGCACACTATTCCCAGTAATATTGTCAGAACCATTATACTGAAGGGAAATGATCAATAAATTTATCCCACCACCAGTGGATCTTGTAGGTGACAGTGATGTGCAGCTGTCCACAGTTAGATTTCCTGGAGCTCTATGTACAATGATAGAGGCGGAAGAGAGTGGCTCACTTCCTGGTGGTCCTGGGGTACAGCTCGCTGCTGGTGGTGCTGCTGCTGTGGAGTGAGGTCACCTCCCTCTGCAGCCAGGTGGAGCTCTCTCAGTCTCTCCTCCAGCTACACAAACACACAGATAGATAACCTCTGTCCTTGCCACTTACACTCTGGATATACACAGGAACCCCTTTAATCCGGACACCAGAAGAGTGTTCATATAGGCGAGGTCTCCTTATTTCATTGAAGGCAACAAAAAGTAAAGGTGTCCTTTATTAGAGATGTGTTCTCATTTTCAGGGGTGTTCTTAGAGAGGGGTTGGTTGCACGGTAGTCTCATCACTAGGTAAACAGTGTAGGCCAGGGCCACCCATTGTTTGCACTGAGTAAAAATACCAGGAGTTAGCGGCCCATAGGAAACTGGTTTTTGTATTCCAGGAAAACGTAAAAACACAATGGTAGAGTATAGCTGCCCATATGAAACTGATCTGACATATGCAAAACCCCAAATCTCACTTTTCCAAGTCAGAAAGGGGAGATACTGGAGGATGGCAAATAGAATTTTTCTTGTGTGTATAGTAAGTATATACTCACCTCAGAGTTCCTCTTCTCCAGAGCCTGGTTGGCCTCTCTGAGTCTCTGTATCTGACTGGTGTACTCTTCCACTTCAGCCACCACCACCCTAGGACTCTGTGGATATAGTACACAGCACTAATAGTCGTCTTTAGGCTAGCAGAGTAAGTTGCTTATAATACAGCTTCTTGCCTCCAGGCATTGCCACCACTAGCAATAGAGTAATAGAGAAATACATTTTATATAGCTGATTGGACTCACACAAAAGCGAGTGTGTTCTTAGGAAGCAAAAGGCAGCCCAGCTAAAAACAGACTAGGTTTGAGTTAGAGCCACAGGCCTCTAAGCCAATGGTTACGCCTTACTGTAACACATTATGTAGTGGCCCCCTGAAAAGGTGAAGTGTCTGTCTTTATGACATGCCAACATGTCGGTATTGTTTTCAACACTTGGAGACTTGATACGGCAGGTAGGGAACTTTAGGGACCTGCTATGGCTCATGTGCACTAGTCACCTGTTCCTCCAAAGTCATAGCCATCTGCTGCCGCTCCTGCAAGTGAGTACATAAGACACAACAGAAACTTAATTTGAGAAAAGCGCTGTTAAGATACACGCAGTACGTATTATGCTGAATGTAGTGGTTCAAAACGTAGTAGGTGGGCAGCACTTTCAAGATAACATACCACTCTACCACATACTACCACTGTAATGAACTAACACACATACTATTGTAGCTACATAAAGCTAAAGAAACTTAAATTCATCTTATGGAGGTACGTTCATGAATATAGTACGTAGCATTGTACATATTCTGCACAGTACATAAAATAAGGGCAGCGGAAAGCAGTGTAGGTGTGACAAAGATATATACTGTCTCCGTTAATAAAGTATATTATATGAACAGTGAAAAAATGGCACATTATAATCAAGTTAGTAGGGAGTAGAAGTTAAAGGCAGTACAGTATCTCTTGGGAGAAGGATCAAGCCAAGCCTCTTATCGACAACATGAATGAACTACATCACATGCAAGGCAGAGATATTGCCAAGCAAGTCCTACATTATGATGGCTACAAAACATACATACTACGTACACGTGCATTGTAACTATACAGTTAGCATCTGCTCATCCAGACACAATACCACTAGGCATAATACGCAATGACACATTCAACCTATATACACTAAAATAGTATAGCAACAGCCAACTCACCCCGTGCAACTTCCAGATCTCTGTGTGCATCTCGAGGACAGAGGGAAACCGTTTGGGAAGACTGACGCACAGTTCTTTCATGGTCTTGTTGATCCCGGCAGCCGTCGGTCGCTTGTCCGGATGGTCACTCAGACACTGGACGATGAGCTCATGGAGACAGTGACCTAAAGGTAACTTCTCCATCGCCTGCTGTCTCTTGTACAGTTCAGAAGTTCCCTCTCGCTGGACCTTCTCGGGGATTTCCATGCCGTAGAAGACATTGGGGAACTCTTGAGTGGCTGTACAGAGAGCTAGAACGCCGAAAGAGAAGCTGTCCAAACGGTCGTCGTACAGGGGTTTAGGTCGCAGAGCTTCCGGAGGCATGTAGGCTAGTGTACCTGGGCAGGCTGTAACGTTAGATAGCTGCATAGGAGATACGTCTAGGAGGCGGGAGACGCCCAGGTCGGCTATCTTTGCGCGCATGTCCGGCGTGACAAGGACGTTTGCTGACCGTCAGGTCGCGGTGGACGATGGCCGGCTTTCGAGTGTGGAGATGGAGCAGGCCATACGAGACGTCTTTCAGGACGCCGAGTTTGATGGAGAGCGGCATGTTGGGGTAGGTAGCCAGGCATTGCTCCAGATCCATGTGAAGATGCTCGAGAACTAGCGACAAGTCCCCCGAGTTGGCCCCGTAGTGGACTCCCAGGAACTGGACGATGTTCGGGTGGCGGATGCGACTCAACAGCAGGCACTCGTTGCGGAATCGTTCCTGGATCGTAGCTCTAGCGGGGCTGCCAGGCGACGCGGCCGCCTGGCGGTGATCTAGGATGTCGTGGAGTCGCTTGGCGATGCACGGCATCCCGTTCACCCTCACCTTGTACACGGAGCCGAAGCTGCCTGTTCCCTGCCTGACGCCTTCCTCCAGGCCCTCCAACTCGTCGATGACGTAACGAGACAGCTCTTCGTCAACCATATCTGCAAAATTTCCGCCACCAGCAAGAGACGGTATATAGTCACGAACAGAGCCAGATGACCATACAGTTTACTGGGAGGGTTTTACTCCAATTAATGCCCTCATTCCTTGTGTGCGCATGCGCTGATCGCCCGTATATACATTGACAAAAACACAAGTACATCTGCAATCATCGTTATAAAAAAAAAAAAGAAGTTGTTTTCTCTATCTATAAAAGCTTTAGCTACTTTGATCGAGTTCCAGTGCAGGTTTCGGAGTGACGCTTGAAGTTTATCTGTCCAATCTTGAACACCTTCCCACACATGACACACTGCAGGTTTGGGTCGGGTGGAAGCGATTGGAGCCCAGACTGAATAGATGGAGTCGGCTCCTCTTCGTTGATTTCTTCAAATGTTGCTTTGATTGTGGTACTGAGGTTTTCCATCAGGCCCTGTTCCTCATCGTTTGCATCGGAGGCCTTGCGAGGTGCAACACTGGTTGTCCCTGTCTCGGAACGTTCATTGAACTCGATTACAGCAGGATTGGCCGAAGGGCAGGCTTGAGGAGGCAAAACTGTTTCAGCGACAGGCTTCACGAACTCTGCCTGTGGGTACTGTGACGGGTGTGCACCTCCAGGGAGAGTAGTCTTGTATGGTTGCGATGCAAGAGGCTGCTGGCGCTGGAAGCACAAGTCTGTGGCTGCATTAGTTGTCTCGGCAGATGGGACTGGCATTAGCGGTGTGCGACTGGAAGGAGCCTGAGAGTTTGGCTGCTGGCGGTAGGGGTCATGCTGTCCAACGAACTCCACGGCTTGCGAAGGAGGCGAGAACACGTTTTGGTGCTTTGGTGGTTGGTCCCTCGCTAGAAAGTTCCCTCCTGAGAGGTCCATGTGAGGAGAATGTCCGTGAGGCTGGGGATCACCCCTGTTCACCATCTGTGCTGGCCCCATATCCGAATTCGGCGGCTGGGGCTGTCCCATTACAACTCCACCCTGCTGTTGTTGGGGATCGCCCGAGTACACATTTGGCTGGGATTTCCCCCTCAGACCTGGCTGTAGCTGGGGATGGCCCGCTTTCTGCGGCTGGTTTTGGCCCATTCCCGATACTTCCCCTACAGTCAGAGGAAGCTGGGCATTTGGGTTGCACGTCCTGTGTGGTGACAGTGGATACAGCTGTTGTTCACGGACCACGCGTCCGGACTGTATCTCGCTATCTGAGTGTCGTGATTGGAGGGCCCCCGGCAAGTGCGTGGTGTGCGACAGGTGCTGACTGCTGCGAGGAACAATCGGTCGAATCACCGCACTGGCTGGGATACCGACGACTGCGTCAGTGTCAGCTTGCTGGCAACTAGGGACGGCTAAAGCTGCTTGTGGTTGCGGTGAAAGTGGAGGACCACCTCTTTCCATCCCTGTCTGTTGGTACATGTGCTGTTGTTGCTGCCAGTGGCTGACTCTCTGCTCGGCCTGCTGCTCCTGGTACTGAAACTCAGCGTTGGAGTGGGGAGGCATGTAGCTGAGTCGGTCCACTCCCTGGTTGAACACTCCTGGACTGGCTATCGGCTTCTGAGATATGGCCACTGGTGTTGGTGGCTGAGTGCTCCACTAAAAGATTCAAAAGTTGTATTACACCGCTATAATATAATAAAGAGCAAACCCTCGGTGCAAGAAATGCACGAGTGTTGATTTACTTTCGCATGTACATAAAGCGCCGCTGATTGATGGCCTGGCCCACGCACACAGTTTAACCCGGAGCCAGTTTCTCGCTCTAATACAGGCTATCAGCATCAGTGGGTAGCGTTTAGAGCAACAATGGACTGGACACACTTCCCCTGAGTAACTTAATCCCTCCACAGTGCGCTTAACTGGCAAAGGGCAATCGAGGCAAGCCAGTGCTGTGCATATTAGGCTTTTTCGCTTGTTTCCCGACCATATCTTGCCGTTCTTTTTTCAGGCTTTCGTAGTTCTGAAGCTATTGGTATCACTCATAGACTGCCTCATTGCCTGTATGTGCCAGAATAGCTACAGACAGACAGAAACACAGACCAAGTACTGCAAATATGCGCCAAAAACTATTCGGCCTAGTCATTATGTCCTGGGAAAGTATACCCCCAGAAATACGTACGTATACACCTACTGTTAAAGCAGCATAAGGTGAGTGATTTGCAAGAAAGCCTTCACTTATATCCCCACACACATTTCCCAATCCAAAACGTGCCTTATACCAAAGTGTGCCTACAAACCAGGGTCCGTATTACCTGGAGTGTTTCAGCAGTTGCTTGTGCCATATTACCAGGGGGTAGTTGCTGCAAGGTGAGAAGATTTTTTTATATATGCACCACTGCACTGTAACGCTAGGTTCACAATATGTCACATTGCCCCGTCACGCGGAGCTGCTTTGCCGCATCGCGAGGATAGATACCTTGATGGCATGGTGCGACAGGGCAATGCGATGCATTGTGAACTTAGTCTACACATTGTGCAAAACTAACCCGAGGTTCCACAAAGGGGACTTCCACTCTATGGTAAATTAGCGTCTGTATCAACACTTCCTGCTTCTGCCTCATTTCCTGTACAAACACAAGCCCACACACAGTCAACAGGGACATTTTGTGCACTGCACACTCACATCCAGAGAGTCCAGGGCAGCGTCCAGTTGATGCTGCAACTCTGCATATTTGGCTTTCATGACCCGATGGGCTTCAAACTCCTCATGGAACGCTTTTGAAAACTCGTCCTCCCTGTTTCTAGCCCGCTGTAGTCTGGTGAGCTCATTGGCCATCTCTGCCTGCTGCATTTGGGCCTGATTCAGCTGGAGTTCCTTCTGCTTCTCCAGTAGTTTCCGGTGCGTCTCAGACTCCTTTACCATTCTCATGTTCTCGCCCTTCATCACCTGCAGTTGCTTCTCAATCTCCTGAATTTTCTTCGCGTACTGCTTTTCCATCTCTGCATGCTTGAAGGAAAGATGTTTGAGTTGTTTTGCAGTGTCTTCCAGGCTGCTGCGACTGGTAGCCAGCTCAATTTGGAGCTGCACATACGCAGAGAAATGATAGCGGTACATCGTGCACCAAGAACAAGCTCACCTTTTCAACTTGCTCTGTTGGGATCGTATTGTTTTTCCCTTCGAGTTGTTTTTTGAACTGTGTGACTTGGGCAGTCTTCACTTTCACCTCTTCCTTTAGTTTCTCCAGTTCCTCGTTCTGTCTCATTCCATCCTGATTTGCTTGCTCCTGACTACGCAGTATGTCTCTGTTGCACTCTTCAAGCTCCTTGTATTTCCCCTCAGCAGCAGTGAGTTGACTCTCCAACTGTTTGATATCGTCAGAAGCTCTTTGCATTAAGACGTCCTTCTCGTGTGATCCCTCTTTCAGCATTCCCACTTCTTTTTTATGCTCATCCGCTGCAACAAAGCTTGCCTTCTTCTCAGCTGTGACTGCCGATTTCACCTCTTCGACCTGAATTAGAAAATAAAATTGCAAGTGAACGCCACGAAAAGGGACTTCACCATTTGTTTCAGCCTCTGGTTTTCTTCTTGGAAGACTGAATATCCAAGCTTGGTTTTCTCAACTTCTTCCTTCAGTGATTCAGCCTTCTCCTTGAACTGCCGGGCAATCTCCATTGCTGCAGCTTTCTCTGACCTCTGCCTGTCAAGTTCTCTAGTCAAATCTTCAACTTTGGTCTGCATAATATGTATATGCCAACAACAAAATTAGGTAGAACCGCTATGGCAACGCAATCTGGCTACACCCAGGACAACTCTTTAAAGGAAGAGCTGCCCCAGGAGAAATTTGAGCATAGAACAGATGTTACATGCATGCAAAATCAACTTACCATAAAGCTTTGTAACTCCTGCTGAGCAGTCTCTGCAGCCGTTTTCCATCTTTGAATTTCACCGGACTGACTCAAATCTGCTGTCATCTGTACAGCAATGAGTCAATTTCAGTCCACAGGGTGAAAAAAGTATTATCACCAACCTTTGTTTGTGTTTCTCGTTGTTTAGCTTCAAGTAATTTCTTGAGACTTAAGACCTGCTGACTCTGTTGCTTGCTGTACTCCGAAAGAGTTTTCTTCTCACGAGTCAGTTTTTCAACATCACTTCTAAGGCTCTCGGAAGTCCTCTTGAGTTTCTCTCTTTCCTGCAGATCTCGTTCCATAGATCCGACCTGCACTTCCAAGTTATGCAGCTTTGTCTCTCTCTCCTTCAACTTTAGCTTCAGAGACGCAACTTCCCCGGTCTCTGCTGCCATTGAGTCGGTTGGTGATAGGGGAGGATTGGCGAGTGGAGTGTTGCCTTGTTGGCTTTTCAGAGAGCGGACTTCTTCGTCTCGGGCCTGGAGTTTCTCCCGGAGGTCCTGTACCTCCCTTTTCAACCTCCTCACAGATGGTCCACCATGTGGCTCTGGTGAGCTCCCTGTCCAAGTGGCCCCAGCCCCCGAGCTCTGTTTTCCTCCCTCTCCTCCTCCTCCAGCTACAGCTGGGGCTTGGGAATGCAGCGCCTCCTTGTTGGCCTCAGCTTCACTTAGCTTCGTGGCTGTCTCCACGTAGGCTTTCTCCATCAGTTCTGCACTATCAACGACCTTTTGTAGCTTGTCTACTTCTTTCTTCAGATCCTCTGATTTCTTCTTCCACTTCGTCATTTCCTCGCAGAGTTTGGTCATATTGTCAAAGTACTCATCCAGGTCGGTTGCTGACTTGGCAGTCGAGGCTTCCGCCTTCATGGTTCTCTGGAACGACTCAAGCTTTATTTGACTCTCTTCTCTCTTTTCTTCCTGTTCTCGAAGACGTTCCTGTGTTGCGTCGAGTTGCCGTTGTGCTTCTGCTAGTTCCTCTTCTTTCTTCAGGAATTCAATCTCTCTCTTTTCTTCCTGTTCCTGTAGCTCTCTTTGTGTATTCTGGAGCAGTTGGTCCAGCCTTTCCAATTCCTCTTTATTCCTCTCTAGCTCCTCTTCAGTGTTTGTTTTCTCCTCTTGAAACTGCTTTTGTGTACTCTGGAGTTGTAGCTGAAGCTGTTCCAAGTTTTCTTCTTTCGTTTGAAGCTCTGTTGCGCTCTTTGTTTTCTCTTCATGAAGCTGTTCCTTTGCAGTCTGCAGTTGTGTTTGTAGCTCTATCAATTCCTCTTCTTTCTTCTTCAGTTCTGTTTGGAAATTGTCCCCCTGGACCTGACCTTGTGTCTCATGCTCTTTTGAGGCTGCTGTTTTAGCCATCTTCTCGTGTTCAAGTCGCTGCTCTAGCTTTCTCATCTTGTCTTCATAGCTTCTTGCTAATCTTTCCTGGCTGTGTAGTTTGGTTGTCGTAGCAGTCGCAGAATTTTCCTATGCAAGTAGTGTATTAGTACATTACTAGTAGCATTTAGTAACATGTACACTTAACTATAGCTAGTTTGATACCAGTAAAAGGTACTTACCAGTTCAGTGATCGTTGCTTGCTGTTCACCACACTTTGTTTTACGCTCGGCTACTTCATCACTAAGCTTGAGATTTTCCTCCTCCTTTTGAGTAACAGCTTGTTTTGTTTGCAAAACTTCTCGCTGTGCTTCTTCTCTCATCTGCTCCACCAATGCCTGGTTCTCCTGCTTGAGTTGCTCAAGCTTGTGGAGAAGTTCATCTTCTGTTCCTTTGAGCCGGGTTGTCATCTGCTCCACCTCGTCCCTAAGTTTCCCTAGCTCTCTTGCATGCTCAGATTTCATGCTCGTTTGTTCTTCTTCACGTCTCTTCTTCTCACCTTCAGCCTCCATCTTGAGTTTCTCTCTCTCGAGTTTCTCTCTCTCAGCAGCGTGCTCTCGTATCATGGTCTCCTTTTCTTCCTGCAACTTCTCCTCCAAAGCTTCTTTTATTTGGGCAACTTCCTTCTCATGCTTCAGTTTAGCCTCACTCTTTTTGGTTTCAATTTCCGTCAAGTGTTCTTCTACAGTACGCTTTCTTGCTTCTCGTGAGCTCTGGCCATGTCATGTTTCTCGCTCGAAACACGTTCGCATCTCTCTTCATGATGGCCAAGTAATGCTTGCAGCCTTTCTGGCAAAGATTTGTTGCTTGAATCCTGAGGAAAATCCTTCTCCTTTTCTTGAAGCTGAAGTTCTATTTGTTTCAGATGTGTCTCGAGAGAATGCTCGTCCAGTGGCTTTCTTTTGACCTCACATTCAGCAGGGGGCTCAGTTTTCTCCTGGGGGTTCAAATTTTACCACTGTCATGCGTGCATCACTTATGACACATCACATTGGACTACAAAAAATGTGTTGTTATGTTATCTTTGAGTGCCTTAAAGTGTGAGGCATTGAATCACGCAGTGCCCTTTAAGTAAGTAAGCTCGGCTAGCATTGTAGTTCTAGCATGGTCAGTGGCCCACACAACTATACCTCTCACGACATTCCGGAACCGGACTTTACCTAATTCAAAGTCAATGAATATTGTTACTGTTTGAGGGTGAATCAGGAGCATAATGGATTACTAACCACCCCTCCTGACAAAACCAGTAGTAACAAATCAAGAGGAATGTAATCTGTTCGGGATCCCGACTGAGGGGCCTGGGTCAAGCACACACACAGGCAAAGACTGTGGTAATTGCATTAACACTGTGTGGTGATAATAAGGTTTGTTTAGCACATGGCCTGCTCTATGTATGTAGGCATGCTGGGGAGTGTCCTTAATTACTATGGATGCTATGGCCAAAACTTGAATGTTAAATTGTATTGTGCAATGACGACACACACACTAAGGCCAAGAAGTATATCTTTCAGCAATTGTAGTGAATATGCAAGTTCCTTTTTGCATGCATAGCTACCACTCAATGTACTATCTTCCAGAGTGAGTGAGGAGTCAACCAGACGACCATACTCTCAAGCATTTGCAGTGGTGAAATGTATGCGACAAAGTACAGCTGAGTAGAAGGAGTGCACGTGTGTAACGCAAGCATCACATGTGAGCCATAGAAAGACGAAGGATAACTCCAGCATGCACTGGGAGACAAATATTCACTGTGTACTTTGTCGTTAGGTACCAACACAACATAAATCAATACATAAACATGTGTATACATTTGCTGATTTAATGTTTCCCCCAACTTCTTCAGTTTCGAGAGAGCGTAGAAAGCATAACGTCATACTGCACCTGCTCCAAGCTGAGGTAACCCGGTGAAGAAAGCCATCCATGCCAGCGCTTGCGCGCTCATGCTTCACTTGCTCGGAGTGTAACATTCCCTTCATTCCAACACATAACCTTCCACTAGAGCTTCAAATGCTATATCTCTCGCTTATAAAAGTTCAACTCAAGGGTTTCCGCAAGTACCCACTAAAGTCCTGTGCCTTTCTATTGTGGATATTATGGTATATACAACTGGTGCCTAGCTATATAGCTTTTTAGTGTGGTGTGTGGGTGGAGTAACTCACTTACCGCTACCTTCAGTGGGTCATCAGGAAACAATTCTCCTCTTGTAGCCTCAGACGAGTTCTCGGAAAAGGCACTCTCTTCACCACCAGGCGGAGAGCCATGTTGCGGCCTGCCTTCCGCCAGAACCGACGGGGACTGAAGGATGAAGCTGTCGCGTGCGGAGCCGGAAGGAGGAGATCCCACGCTGCTTTTTGATGAGGAACGCCTCGACTTTTCCCTCTTCTTTTCTTCTTTCTTGGCTTTCGAACTCTGTTTGTCTTTAGGCTGAGCTACAGCGGCGGCAACAGACGACTGGGCGACGTCCGAAGGATCTTTCTCAGGCTTGCCCCTGTCCTTCGATCTCTTCGATTTTATCAGAGAAAAAAAGACCGTCTTTTTACCACCAGTACTATTGCCGGCCATTGGCAAGACCTAAGGCGACACACAGGGTTTGAAGCACACACAGCACCGAGGGAAAGTCCTCAGCAGGGAACGGGCGAGACGCGGGGAATACCCCCAAAAGACGGGTAATTACCGCGGGGCGTGCCGCGCTTGCGCATGCTCAATCAACAACCACATTCAGCAGAAGTATATATACAGCATCAAAACACTAAACCATAGTCCCAGCACAGGTTTCGACATGAGTACGATAGAGCTGTATCTCTCCAATCCTGAACATCTTCTGACAGATGACGCAGGTGAGGTTTGGGTCATACGGAGTCCCAGTCACTTCGTGCCCTCCTCCTTCCTCCATCTCCTCTATTACGTCATGTGCCATTCCGTGCATCTCTGTTGCAATCCCTGGAGTGAGAATGTCTCCTGCTTGACGCTTTTCTTCTTGTTTCATCATCATCTCTCTCTCGGCGGGCGTGGGACCAGCTGGGGGCCTGGGTTGACCGGCTGGCTGCTCCCTCCTTGGGTGTTGGTACAGGCCGACGATTCATTGCGTTCTCGGAAGACTTGCGTGGCCATACGGATTAGATTGGAGTTGGTGCTGCCTATCGTGTAGTGCAGGGAGATTGTCTGGATCATTGGAACCCCAGGTTGGAGCGCTGCCTCTTCTCTCCCTCCCCTGTCCCTCCACACCGCCTCCTCCTAACCCACCTCCAACCACACTCCCCACACCACTAGCACCAGATGGTGGCATACTCCCTGGAACAGAAGACAGTTTACTTTTTCTCTGGTTAGCCGAGTCTTCAGTGAAGACCATGATTGGAGCAGGAAGGGAGTTAGCATCAGGAGGAGATGCTGGGACCGCATCGGACTGCTGATAGTTGGCAAGCATTGCCTGGATTCTGCTCTGGTTCACGTAGTCTGCATGCTGTATGTCGGTCCTGACAGAAGTAGTGGCTCCCGGTATGTTGGAGTAGTGTGGAGTCGGTTTCTTCCCTCCAGCGGGTTTGGGAGAGTGAGATATCCCTGAGAATGTACTTGATCTTGGTCTGCTGCCGGTTGACTTGGTTGTGGATGAGAATCTGGTCGACTGGGAAAGAGAGAGGGAAATGTTTTACTTTCTGCACACTAAACGGATAAAGTCAAGAATGAGAATAAATACCTGTGCAGGTAGAGGGTATGTACCATAGTATTTTGATAGCCTATCAAAAGCGGTTGCCCCACATACTAGATAATGTGGCAGTCCCCTTAATCAGTTCGCATTCAGACGACTAGGAGGGCTTGCTACGCTACCAATAATTTTATTCCCACAGATTTGTAGGCTTACCACTTCAGAGGCGACGGCCAATGAATTTGATGCTTCATCATCAGGAGATGGTGGGAACTCCTGTAATTACAGAACTATTTCATCACAGCCAAAAACCATAGGAATACTAATACCCACCAGTTCAGTGGGGCTTCCTACAGACCCAGTGTCGGCATCTTCTAGAGCTGACCAACTCTCGTACAATTTCGGATTGGTTTCCATCAATGCTTTTATCTGATCCTTCAGCTCCTATAATACACGCAGGAAAAAGTAGTGTACACATTGTAACTATTACGCAACCAACCTCCTTATCAAACTGGAGATTTCTGCAGAGCTCATGTAGTTCAGACTGATTGACAGGATTGCTGATGACAGCGGTTTTCTTTTTCTCCTTCTTAACTTCCTTCTTCACATTCAGTAACTCCTGCCTTGCTTTGGCGTATGCTGCTGTCATCTTGGCCAACTACACACACACACACACACACACCACACACACGTAAACCAAAGCATGCTTTCATAGTCCCAATTCATACTCACCTCAGCTTTTCTCGCTTGTGACTTTGCTCTATAGTGATTTGCTTGCTTTGCCAATTCAGCATGGGCCTGCTCACCCTCTGCCTGTTTGAGGAAACGGGAAAAGGTTGGTCTGGCCATCACACGTTATATACTCACATGTGCAGCTTTGGCTTTCTTTTTCGATCGCTGCTCCACTTGCTGTCTCGCCATCTCAAACTGCTCAGCGAGTTCTTTTTTCTCGCGCTCGAGAGTTGCAACCTGAAAAAGAAATGGTGTAGTTGTATCACTTGGTGAGTAGAGATATACCTCTAGGCATAGCAAATAAACGTGCAAATGTGTTTTTGACCCGAGACTGTGAAGTGCGTTCTATAACGTGATTCGATAGTGCTCTTGCATTTATGGATCAGTAATGTACGTAGCTATCGTGCAACAAGTCAATCTTGAAAGAAACAGTTGGTGTTTTACCTTGGTCACCAGCCCATCGTGTTGCTTTTTATACTGCTTGACTTGAGAGGTCTTTGCCTGAACCTCTTCCTGGCATTTCTTCAGGTCGTCCATGGCCTGCATTAGCTCCCTCTGTCTGGCCATGTGGATGATCTCCAGGTCAGTCAGATTCCCCTTGTGACTTTTGAGTTGTATCTGGAGACGCTCAATCTCCTCCCGATATCTCTCTCCTTCCTTCTCTCTCTCTGCAAATGCTCTCGTCCGATCATCTCGCTCCGTCTTGAAGTCCTCCTCATACACCTTTGCCTGAGGTGGAAACACATTATCATTGGCAAGTGAAGCGAGCCTATTTTTGTCATCTGAAAGTGTGATGTTGGTAGTCGGACATGTTTTATGTGACTCTGAATAAACGAAATGGAAACAAAATTGCTGTAGTACTTTGTGTGTAACTCATGCAATCATTCGCCAAAGTTGATATTATGTATATAGAGCAGTCCAGAGAACTTTACTGTCTGTTGCGTGCAGCACAAACCAAGGTAGCTATGTAGCTATAACCAAGGTAGCTATGTACGTATGTCTCAACAACTTGGTAACGAGGTAGAAAGGCAAGGCAAGGCAAACAAGTCAACTAGACCCAGGACAGCTCTCTATGTATGTACATGATGCTGACGTTTACCTGGGCCTGGGTAGCCTCAAGGAGAAATTTCAGTTCATCTCTCTCCGCAGAGACTTTCTTCAGTTCCTCCTGAAGTTTTCCTGCTTTAGTGCTCAGTTCTCGACTCTCGTTCTGCAGTCCTCCAAACTTGCGCATTCTGTCGAGGAGTGACGCATTATCAGTTGTCAGTTTCTTCACTTGCTCTCCCAGTGATCGAAGTGTCTTTCGGCTCTGCTCAAGTTCCAGGTCCTTTGCCTCCCTCTCACCCTGCAGTCCCAATAAGGACTACTATTCCAGCAAGAGAGGATAAACACTATTAAGACTAACCTCAAGAGTATCTATTTTCCCTTCAGTTCCTTCATAGCTAAACGTACTTCATGAATCTCGGCATCTCTCTCCTGGATAATAAGATAGGCTCAACTGTTGGATACATATACTGTTGAGTGTGGACAGTATATTATAATAAGCGATGTAGGGTTCCAGTCTTGAATTTAGGTATGCTTATTAAGCAGGAAATTCAGTGGTAGCCTTACTGATTAAAGGCAATTAAAGCCAATGTTTTGGGTTTATGGACTACTTATGCACAGTCAGTTTTTCTACACTTTTTTTGGCATAATACTACCTAAATCACTTGTTGAGTTGCCATACTAAAAGCTGTTACAGGGATTACTACACTTTTTTTAGCACCAATTGTAGGCTTCGCATGGCTGCCTCTTTACCTTTGCTTCATTGTGCAACACAAGGATTTGTTGACTCTGAGATTTAGAATGTTGTTGAATTGATTTCATTTTAGCGTCTGTCTTTTCAAGCTCCCCCACTGCATTCTTCATAACTTCGTCCTTTTCCTGAAGATCCCTCTTTAGTTTGACAAGGTTTCTCGTAGCTTTATGATACTCTGCCTCAAAATACCTCGCTCGTTTCTCAGCCTTTTGAAACTGAATAGACTGTTGAAATAACTCTTGTTGCAGCTCGCTGACACTGTTAGGGAGCCCTTCGGGGCGACTGAACATAGCATCTTCCATCTCCCTCTCTTGCTGTTCTGTTGTGGGTGTAATTGGATCATGTGTAGCAGTCTCGGAGGTCATGGAAGAGTACGGAGTTGATCTCGCTGACTGGAACTCTCCACTTTCAGTTGGCCAACTCTGACTAGCCTGCCTACAGAGTCCATCATCTTTCCCCCCCCATTTGTTCCTTCGTTGCTCTCGGCTTTTCAAGTTCCTTGTCCTGTGATGGTTGCTCCGTATCACTTTCACCCACAACTACAGCCTGGAAATAATGTTTGAAAAGACTGAGTGAGGCACAATGGTAATAGTGGTCTAGGCTCCCACAAATAGAGAGACTACTAGCTCCATGTGCATTATCAATAATATGCTGCTTGGACAGGTCATTCCATGGATAAGCCTATCACAACCGTAGGACATTTTTACTCAATTCATTCTCTAGTACTGTAACCTTCGTTGCATAAAAGCCCTTAAAAGTGGATAATGTTGACCACTATAGTCAACATTATGCACAAACTCATCATCAAGAGTTGTACATTAGCGGCTTTAATTATTCCGACATTATCACAAAAGCAGAATGAAAAGCACTGAAGTGCAAACCCTCGGCGCACTGTGACGCGCACGCGTAAGTAAACGCATGCGCAGTACCACTAATTGATGGGCTGGGTTTAGTTTTAGCTGTCACTCGTGGTCTCTTCCCAGCGGCTCGTGCAGAGTCTGACGCAGGCTAACTACACTACTAGATAGCATGCAAGAGGCGATACACGCCCTGCGTTGCATCTTCTGGTGCCTCAGAGCACGCGAATCGATCAGACCGCGGTAAGCCGTCCCGTCCGTTGTGTATTTGCATATTGGCTTTTTCGCGCTCTAGCTTTGCAACGGAGCGTTTTCAGAGAAAACCGTTCGTAGTTTCTGACCTTCATTGCCCGTTCAGTAGGTGGTATCCTTTGTGAGACGAACAAACACCCGAGAAGTGAGATTGAGAGTAACAGACACACAGATACACAGACCCAAGTACTGTAACCCTCGCTGCGCATGCGCGCCGAGGGTTAATAATATAATCGCGTAGGTAAGGGTTAATACACATACTCCCCTTTGTGCACACCAAATGGTAATGGATATCATAATATTATTATTATTATTAGGGCAATCGTATGTAAAAAAAAATGGTAATGGGCAAACCGAAACAGCAAAAAAATACTGGCCACGGATTATGCACCATTTTTAAAAATTTGAACTTATATGGATTGTGTTAGGCAAAAAAAGGAATTTCTAAAGTTGAAAAAAGCCACCCTACATCTCTCCAGACAGACGTCTATGGACGCAGTGCAATGCCAAACTGTACGCTGTCCTTTGAGATGTATGTGGATCGGTGGTAGATTCATGGGTAAGGGGAGGAACCAGAGCTGTTCCCAGCCAATGCTCTGGACCACCTGACAGTTTCAGTGCTGGTCCAGGATTCGAACCGGGCACCTTATGTGTCAGTCCCCACGTCATCTCTAACCACTTAGTCTGGTCACGAGAGGTGATGAAAAAACGTTCCTCTTACACAAACACTCCATTACATCATTATAAAAAGAACCCATTCAAGTCAGGGATCGAACCTCTAACCTCACGATCTAGTGTGTAAGTCTTTATCCATCAGACCACATCCAATACTTGATACTGTTTTATATCGCTTCTAGCATTTTGCTCATGGCAACTAAGACAACACAGATTGACCCACTCCACTGAGGCATAATTATTAAAGTATCAAGACACCAATCCCCTATTTTAATGGGTGTAAAACATCTGCAGCAGAACCACGCCAGTCTTTTGCTGTAATAATGCTTCGGACCACCACGTACCAACGCTACCTTTACTTCATCGCTGCTGACGCATTCCCAGTCTTTCATGTCGAGTGAATTGCGGCTCCCTAAAGTATCGCCCGAGGTTTCTTCACTTCTCCTTGGTTGCTCCTGTCGCTGAGCCATTCTACATGCCGGGGCGAGCAACGATAATGTACTCGTCAGACGGAGAACACGATCCGTACGGCGGGATGGATATTCTGCTCAGTCTTCCCGGCTTCACGCGGAAGATGGAAGAGAACGGCCCACACTTTCAAGGGGAATCCCCACCGCGCCTCAGCGCATGCACGATCATTATCATATATACTGCATAACTTAACTACTATACAATGATGTTTACATATACAATGTTTTACTGTGCTACACAATTCCAAATCCTGACGTAAAGTTTATTGCCTGCAACAGTTTCTGTTTCATGAGTTCTTGAGAAGGGTACGGAGGGAGATCCAGGACGTTGAAACACGTGTGGGCCACTGGGAGTCTTTCGCAGTCCTGCCCCCATCCATCCTCTGAATCATCATCTGCACACAGGAACAGTAAGATACTATTCCCAGTTCAGCTGGTATATAATGGATAACGCAAGATGGTCGAAGTACGTAGGCCAGGAGGGAAAGAGATATAATTTTCCCTAGTGTACTGGACTTCCAGTCATAATAAGCGAGAGTTTCTTTCCCCTCTTGGCCTGTGTACTTCGACCATCATTGACTAACTTCTGGGTCAAAACTATGGCAAACAGTGTTCAATACATGTGCCAGCATGCATGGCATAGTCTACAGCATACGCTACAGCACTACTACAGCACCATTTGGCATAGGCTACAGCACTATTACAGCACCATTTGGCATACGCTACAGCACTATTACAGCACCATTTGGCATAGGCTATATACAGCACTATTTGTACACATCACGTGTGGCGTAAGCACCATTACCTTCATACTCTCCACACCGGCCACTGGTATTCTGTTGGAGCCAGTCCAAAACACTGCAGCAAAGAGACATACGTAACTTGCTGCTTTCCCAAGTACATAAACATCAACTATATAATATAGTTGTCAGAGCCACATTACATTTTTTCGACTCTCTTCGGAACGGAAATTCTGTATATGTATGTGTTAGGCAACTGAATGTAGAAACACCCAGGACAACTCATGAAAAGAGAACTGCCCTGGCTGGGCGGAGCTCAAAGCCAAAATGCTCTGCATACATACATGTTTGCTTTAGTCTTTACAATGCTCATTAGTTGGCAGCATAATTATAAAAGGTAACATACATACCCAGGAACTTTCTCTTGGCCTCTACTGGCAGATCGTTAAACACAGTCCAGAACATCTTTATCACTGGGTGGTCCTTATGGTAGCCATTCCTGTAGTCCATGTACTGTGGGGGCACATCAACAAACATTACAAGGCCGACAATTACAATTCCGTGAAAGTTTTTGTCAGAAAAAACACTCATAGCCCATAAATTTGTTTTCATGACTAAAGAACAGCCTACTACTATTTTTATCAATAGCAATAGTTGCTCTGTGTACCTCGGAGGCACAAGAAGCCACAACGAAGGGCGTGTATCGACTCCCGCATGCTATCTATTACTGTAGCTAGCCCGTGTCAGACTCTCCGCGAGCTACTAGCGAGATATCATGAGTAAACGTATACTAGTTAGCCCTGTTACCCAGGATGATGAATAAAGTCTGGTAGCGGCTGTTGACTCAATGTATATGAGGCTATTGTCTCCAGCAATATTATGTGTATATGCTGTACGTAGGTATATTTTGTAGGCTCTGACCTTCTCCAGGTGAGACCAGTCGATAGCCTGCTGTCCTACCACCAGTGACATCAACTCCAGAGGATGCAGCATCGACTGGAAAATTCAGAACACAAACAATACGCATCTTTGGCGACAGTTAGTGGAAAATCTGAGTACTAAAACAATTACAAGTAATCAGGAAACGAAAAATACTCAAAGAGGGGAATCCAACCATATCTTTATACGTAAATGTCAGTGTGTGTGTGTGTGGTGTGTGTGTACTACTCACCAGTACTTTCCCATCGCACACTCTCTTGAAGCCCTCGTCAAAGGCAAGAAATGGCTCCTTGACCGACTCGTCCAGTACATGCTTGACGTAGGCCCTCACATACTCGGTACGGTTGTCCCTGGTGACGGAGACCGAGGTGCCCCCTGGTATTAGTGGGATCGTTATCACCTCTCCGAAACTTCTCCTAGTTAGCTGTGAATGGAGCGAGGGGAATATACATATTATGATAAACACTGTCAATGCACTGTCAAATCATACATCAAAATACACTCTACTGAGATTTAACAAAGGCAATGTACCAATTGAGGAGGGCTATACATAGATGCTTTTTTAGGTTGGTTAGGGAGAGAGCTACTCTTATGAAGGGGGCTGAGGAATTTGACTCCTCGTGTCCCTATAGCACGCTATACAATCCCTCACTTGAGCAACATGTGTAAAGCATGGGGCTTAATGGAGTTTTCACATGACATGTGACATGACACAGGTCATTGCTTTCTACATAGTGGACATACACTGTATATGTACTACAGAAACTCCCACCAGTAGTAGAGGTATGTATTATAACATCAGTTTACCTCAAAAGTGAGTGAGAAGGTGTCCTCAAAGTCAGTTCCCTCGTAGGTGAGAAGTGACTCCAGGTTGCTGCCTACCGACGGGTGCAACTGCTTCAGATCTGTCAGGTCCGTCGGCCTGCAGATGCAGGGAGGTGAAAAGAAGGTGGGTTGGAGAAAAGGTGGGTCGTATATACCAAGGCAGAGAAAAGGTTGGTCTATAGACGAAAGTGGTTGGAGAAAAGGTGGGTTGCACCAAGGCAGAGAAAAGGTGGGTCTACAGAGCATACCAAGGCAGAGAAAAGGTGGGTCGTACCAAGGCTGAGAAAAGGTGGGTCTTACCAAGGCTGAGAAAAGGCGGGTCTACAGACCTACATACCAAGGCAGAGAAAAGGTGGGTCTTACCAAGGCAGAGAAAAGGTGGGTCTTACCAAGGCTGAGAAAAGTTGGGTCTTACCAAGGCTGAGAAAAGTTAAAAGGTGGGTCTATAGATTAAGTGGAGAAAAGTAGCCACTGTCCAAAGGACTCTCGGTGGTAATGTGCATGGAGAGAGAGAGAGAGAGCCTAGAACGAGGCTGGGTGTAGGGAAAAGATAGGGAAAGAGAGGGCCGTAAAAACGTAGGGCCGTGTAGAGGGAATGATGGGTCAACTGATGTAATGGTAGAGTAAAGGTATGTACAATAGTAGACTTGAGGCTTTCCTGCTGAGCTACACCTCACATTGGGGGAGCTCAGTGTGAAGAGTGCTCTGCCTATATAAGAACAGAGGTTTGTGGCTTTTAGTTCTTTTTTCCTGGGTCTAGTTGTTATCACACAACATTCATAGATAATCAAGAGGAAAGGGAAGACTTAACAATGTGAAAGACAGTTGTGTTGGAACTTTGTACACACTATCTAGTAGTATGTACATATATGGAAGGAGGAAAGCTCAAAGGAACCTGAAAAACAAAACCCAGGAAAACAGTAGAAAAGAGCAACTCAGAACCCCAAATTTTTTTATGGCCAAAGGACGCTTTCTGCTGAGCTACGCTGTAAGTCTAAACACACGTAAGTTTAACATAATGCAGATGAAGAGCAGCACGACAGGTGGCAAAATGTCTCACTTTTTAAGGAGTTTCTTGTAGAGAGCAGCAGGGAATGGGAGGTCAATGATGACAGAATTGTAGATGGCCAGTCCACATACTATCCCCACCAACTTGAAGTAGTTGAGACTCCCATATGATAGAGGCTGTGGGGGGAGAGGAGGGAGGGAGGAAAGAGTGACGTATGTACGTAGGAAGGGAGGGGGGATGGGGGCAGTGGCACAAGCACACGTACAAAACACATCATTTAGTGCATGTATGCAAGTAAATCTAAAAGCATGCATGATTACAAGAAGGCACTCCTTCAAAAATTCCCAGGAGAACAAGCATTTGTGGTACTCTACTAAACACAATACAGATAGGAGAGCCTTGCCTAATGTGGAGGAGTACACCAGACCAGGGGGATTACTTAATCATTGAACAAGATAAATCCGGACTAACAGTGAAGCTATCACTACTAAAAGACCTAGTATAATTGGGTAATGACCCAGGGGTATTACCTCATCATTGAACCAGATAAACGAGGACTCGTCGTCTTCAGTGAACATCCCAAAGTGAGGATTGAGGATGTCTTTCAACAGCAAGAGGAAGAACTCTTTCTGAACTCCTCCGGCATCCATTCCCTCCTCCCCTACAAACTCCACCTGAAGTGTAGTTAACACAGCTATGGTACATATCAGAGCCCTCAGAGACGATTCTAGAGTCATTAACCCTCGGCGCGCATGTGCATTACTCGCAGTAGAGGCCTGACCCGTAGTGGTTTCTTGTAGTTGGCGGGATCAGTGGAGACGAGGGAGTTGAGAGTGTCATGGACCAGGTTGGACCGGTGAACCACCAACTTGTATGCCAAGGGAGAGAAGTCCCCGACCATCCGCTGCGTGAATATCTGCCGCATCATCTCTGAGTGAGCTGAGTTCACCGCAATCTGCAGACCAGTGGGGAGATTATTAATTATACCCGTATGTATGTACGTATGTACGTTTGTTGAACTTCCTCACACACTAAATAGACAGCAAAACATGGGGCAAATGTAATTGCCATACCCATATACAAGAAGAATCTATTGGCAAGTGAAGGCGAGTGCGAAATTTTGCCGCTTTTACATACGTCTCGTAAAACAATTACGGTACGAACAGTTTATACACGCAATTAAAACAACTATAGGTTGTACGCTTGTGCTATCCCATAGCTGGCAAGATGAACTGGACGAGTGAAATGCCATTATTTGGGTGTAAATAGGATGCAGTAATGCAGCATTCCTCACTTGCATCTGAACCCTGGACTCCACTTTGAGAAGCTCAGCCTTAGCTCTGGAGTCCAGGATAAATGGATACCGACAGAACACCACGACCTGCACAAAGTGTGTGTGAGTGTGTGTGTGTGTGTGCACGTGTGTGTGTGTGAGTGTGGGAGGAGTGGAAGGATTACAGTTCCTTTCAACCGCAATGCCAGTTAGCTATAGGAGCAGTCAAACGTACATGTATACGGCAATTGTGCATGCATGAAGATTTGTGGGCTGTATCTGACATGTTCTTTGGGGTTGATCCATTTGAAGAAGTCATCGACCAAGTTTACCACCTCGTTGACAGCAGGGACATAGAACTGCGAGTGGGCCAGCACCTCTCCATGTCTCGTGTTCCACTGCAACACAGCAGATCCACAGACACAGACACGATAATAAGACTACCAACAATGATCTACACAGTGTATGAATGGCATATTTGGTGAGCGAGCGCAAACAGTTCAATTTCTGACGCGTACTCAGAATGACGTTCAATTGATCGCGTAAGAAATCTCGTGGGTACAGTATGGTATACATTGGGGTGAACACTGTTCCATACTCAAACTATAATGGTGCATTTTACATTATACACTGCATTTATATGTACGTAGGTAGGTACCTCATGCATGCACTTTAGTAGTCTGAGAATGTGCAGAACTTCGTTCGGTGACTGAATTTGCTGCAAATGGAACGACGCAAACAGTAGTAATCTAGAACCGGCCAACTAACACGGAAGACGTTGCTCACGTTGGAATGTGGAGATTTTTGAAACTGTGAGATTTGGCAGTCAATTGGGTTCTTATTCTGAGGAGAGAGAATGAACACTCTATTTGTACGTGTTAGACAATTCATGTTACCTGTGATGCCTCTGTCTTCCTTGACAGTAGATACTGGGTTAAAGATTGTTTGGCCGACTGGAAGAGAAGGTGTCATTCGACTATTGTAAACATGCTTGCTATGTAATTTCAATACTCACGTCCAGCCACAGCTCTATGTAAGGGAGTGGAGAGTCGAAGAGCCACTGACCTGAGGTGAATGTAATCAGCAGTAAAACACTCACATTGAGCACTGGCCCTGATACCATACTCCACAGCATCACCATATAGGTCCATACATATACAATATACAATGATGTCACTTGAGGAGAAACAAATGGTAGAACGTTTCGGCCCAGAAGTGTACGTGTAGCTCTGCACATTGACTGATGGTTTCCATTTGAGTGCACTCTTGAACAATAGTTAAACACTCTTCTTGACACGTTCCCTGTTTTGGATGGCTGTGGTCTCCTTCGTCTTGCAGAAAATTGGCATACAATGGTCGAAATAGAGGGTCCACCGGAGAGTGGTATGACAGTGTTATACTTAAAAGATATGCAGATGTGCACGGAAGTGGGTTTCACTGTATAGCATGGTACCCATAGCCTTAATGTAGTACAGTGTCAGCTCTGAATAAGGGACACCTTGTGCAGAGGTGTCTCTTGTTCAGAGGAGAACTAGTATGATTGTAGGGCAGAGAGGATCCTTCATTCAGAGGTACATACATACGTATCAGTGTATAGACTACTACGTATGTCCTGTGCTGACCGAGGAGAGTTCTCCACTCTGCGGGGAGATCAGTGAGAGCCTTGGCAAACATGGCGTAGAGAGAGGGGTGGAGAGGTTGGAGGATGAAGGAGGGGAGGGTGAGGAACAGTCGCACACACTCGGGGGATGCACGTCTCTTGGATTGCACCACCCCCTCCAACATGGCCCCCAGACAGGACTGCAACTGGACGGACACACACTTTCACTTTAGAAAAATGCAACATATGAACGTATGTATGCGTCAGTATATTTCCAGGGTACTAAGATGAACTAACAGAATTACATGGTGCATAATAGCCATTATGGGATTTTCAATTTGTGTAATAATATAATGATAGGGCCCTTGTTCATTGAGTACCGTAACAGATATATAGCACAACAAAAAAGTTCAGGAAAAACTTTATTTGAGCATTGGGTAATCTTCACACAAGTCAACCACACAATCCAGTGTATACATGTCACCGACAAGTGACACACAAATTTTCTCACTCGAGACGGTGGCCATGGAAGTCGGAATCCGCTAAGGAGTGTGTAACAACACTTACTACTCACGGTAGTGAGAAGGTTGATCTTGCTGCTGGGGCCAGACTGGTCCAGTCTCCGTCTCAGGAGACTCATACACCGCAGAGCCTCGTCCACATCCACCCCCGACCTCTTGGTGTGGAGCATGTGGTGTTCTCTGGAGGTACGTATATACATACTAGAAGAATGTAACGCATTCTGAAATATGCATATAATTATGTCAAAGAGAGCACCGAGAGAGTGACAACAGTGTTCCCAAACAAAATGTTTGGTGTTGTAAAGTACGCAGTACATACTGTAGGTGTTCACTTAGTTATTACATCACACGACGTGTGGAATCACCTGGACAGGAATGAGCCATTGAGGAGTGAGGAATGGGAGAAGAACATCCTCAAGAAACTGCAAACAACACAAACAACAACATCTTGACATACAACTATACTGTTTCTGCAAATTAATGAGTACTGTAGGTGTAGGGCAAGTGTATGTATGTACCTGGAGGCTCTGGTGTAGTCTTTAGTGATGAGGGCCTCGTCAAGAACCTCTTTGAGGACGTCGTGGTTGAGAGAGGGGAGGATACAGCCTGACTGCTTCCGACGATGGTCAGAGATCACTGACACACCCTGCACAACAGTAGTACAAAATAGTTCATAGCATGCACACATTACGAAGCCAAAAACGATCCCTCTTCCCCCTCTACCATGTGTTCACCTTCTCCCTTCTTTCTCCTTTCTCTCCCCCTCCTCCTAATCCCTCTCACATGTTCTCCACGGACAGCGAGGCTGGCAAAAGACTGGTCTCCTCCAGCAAACACCTCCCTGGCCACCATCCCTCCTCTCTCCTCTCCGTCCACCACCGGCCGAGTCAGAGCCTCCGAGCTGAGCCACTGGCCCCGGACCAGAGTGGGCGTGGCCATGTTTCCCAGAGACCCCGCCCCCAGCTGTCCGCAGGTCCCCAGACCAAAGCTGTACACCTTCCCAGAGGACTGGACTAGAGCAAGAGTGTGGCACCTGGTGGAAAGGGAGGTACAATAAACAGTCTTGTAACTGAAAACAAAAGCCTTTCACAAATTATGGTTTTACACTTTCAGCCGACTACTGTGTTGCACGCTAAAACCAAAGCTTTTGCAAAAAACTTTTGCGGTTTCACAACATTCACAGTAAGTTTTCTTGGTGCATGTTCATGTGCAGCGAGGGTTACAGTATTTGGTTCGTAAGTATGCGTGTGTCCATCAGTTGTATGTTGCATTTTCTACCAACTCTCTCCCTCTCTCCCTCACCTTCCACAGGCCACCTGGGTGACAGTGGAGCCCATCAGCTCAAACACTTTGGTGGGATATGTGGTGGAGTGAGTGCCGTTGTGGCCCAGCTGACCGAATCCACTCGATCCAAACGTAAACAGCCCTCCATCCTACGTACGTATGAAGCATGACACATACAGTAGTACACTAAATAGACATTATTTGCAAGGGGAGTGCAAGAGTGTATAAATGAATGCAAGCAAGTATAGAGTTGTATGTAAAAACAGGTATATACATGCAACAGTGCTATTGTCACCCTTTTCGTTAGATTATTAATACATACACGTGATTATGGGAAACATCTGGACGAATAAGCGGCATCAGCTTGCCAACTTTACATACATTATGAACATACTGTGTACAATATCTAGGCCTCCTGTGCATTTAGTATATGTAGTATGTCAACTGCAATAGTATTGTTGTTGGTCAATAAGGGCAGTTTTAACACATACTGTACTCTCCCGTCATTTTCCCAACACACTTACAGACACTTGGGACAAATACGTGTTTTTCAATCTCAGTTCACTAGTGACAAGCAAACGGCGATAGGCACCCAGCTTTTCCAAACCCATGCATCTCTTGAGGCAAGGTTCAAGTCTCCAAAACAGTGAAGTTAGGAAGATTTAAAGCTACGTATACGGTGGCAATATTGAATTGCCACGAGTCAACAACCAGGTCACAAGGCAAAGGAAAGGGCAAACAAGTCAACTACACCCAGGACAACTCGAGCTCCCCATGGTAGAATTCAAACACGGATAAAACGCTACCAACTGAACTACCAGGGCTGTCTCAGCAGGCAGGGGTTCAAAAAAAACACAACACAAGACAAAGGCTTAATTTTCACATAATTATAGCGCATCAGTCACAGGTAGAGTCGCATCAGTTGTTCATTCCAGTTGTTCATTCCAGTTGTTCACTGACTGTAAAATATTTGAGAATGAAAAGCACTAACCCTCGGCACATTCAAAATGTTGAACCTTATGTATATACACATGCGCTGTACCGCTTAAAGATAGGCTTGACTGCGTTTTCAGTTTGTCAATTTACTCTCTTGCTAGTCTAGTACTATGTATATCCTTCACTGTGTATGTCCGACGAGCGCTACTGGAAGCACTTGAAAGTAATCTTCATCATTATAATCAACATTACACACAAACTCAACATGAAGAGTGGCAGTTTTGTGGCGCCTGTTTTTCTGACATACATGTATGATTATAGGGCAATCTGCATACTAAAATGGTTATCGGCAATCCAAAAGAGTTGTTGAGAGGAGGTCATGCATTAAAATAAAAAACTGTATGTTTTGCAGCATTTTATGAATTGTGTTTTGGGCAAAAATCATACAATCAATGTAAGGATGAAAATATGAGTTACGCTTACGTATGTATGCTAAAATAATACTGGCAATGCACATTAAAAATATAACTGAATGTTTTGCACCATTTGAACTTTTCTATTGATTGTGTTAGGCAAAAAAATAATAATTCTAAGGCTGAAAAAAATGGCCAATCCTCCATCTTTCCTATCCATGGATTGTTTTAGGCAAAACAATAAAGTCTAAGGTTGAAAAAAATAGAAACCTAATGGGCCAGCCCTCATCTCTCCAGGCAGACGTCTACGGACGCAGCGCTATGCCGAACTATACGCTGCCCTTTGAGAATCAAAAAAATTACACTGATCATGCATGAAAAAATACAGCTGAATGTTCTGCACCATTTTAACTTATATGGATTGTTTTAGGCTAAAAAAAAGGAATTCCTAAAGTTTAAAAAAAGCCACCCTTACATCTCTCCAGACAGACGTCTATGGACGCAGTGCAATGCCAAACTGTACGCTGTCCTTTGAGATGTATGTGGGTCAGTGGTAGATTCATGGGTAAGGGGAGGAACCAGAGCTGTTCCCAGCCAATGCTCTGGACCATCTGACAGTTTCGGTGCGGGTCCGGGATTCGAACCGGGCACCTTATGTGTCAGTCCCCACGTCTCTAACCACTTAGCCACTCGGGCTGGCCACGAGAGGTGAAGAAAAAACGTTCCTCTTATACAAACACTCCATTACGTCATTATAAAAAAAAACCATGAGTTAGGGATCGAACCACTGACCTCAGGATCTACTGTGTGAGTCTTTATCCATCAGACCACACCCAATACTTGAGTGGGGATACGTAATATCCCTCCCTTATAGCAATTTGTTATGTCGGACTATCACATTTTGTCCCTAAAGTGCAAACCCTCGTCATAGTTAGAAACATGCGAGTAAGTGTACACACATTCATGGGTTGGGCTCTTTATACCATACTCATGATCTCTTGCCAAGCTACGTAGCTCGCTGAGAGTCTGCTATAATTATAGCATGCAGGAGCCGACACTCGCCCCGCATTGCAACTTCTGGTGCCTCCAAGGTATGCAGAGCAAGCAAACCAGATCGAGGTAAGCCTGTGCAAATTTTAATATTTCACTTGGTTTTCACATCAAACGAAATACTTTTACGTCGAATTTTAGTGCTGAAGCTTTTGGCATAGCTCTTTTATTGTCTCCTTGCGTGGTGGTGGTGGCAGAAAACGTGGTAACAGACGGACAGACACACATGGCGAACCAAGTACCGTAACCCTCGCTGTGCATGCACGCCGAGGGCTAATTAAGCCTTTCCCAGGCTCCAAGGCAAGCAGTCGACACTGCTGCATCTAAATTTATTGTATGTGCAGTTTAATCTCCGTGTCTCGGAGAGCTGTAGAAAGTGGGGAATGACTTGTGAGGCTATATTATGTCCCCAGAACTCGGTGAAGAGCAGCGTTAATAGAATATTGCGAGTATTTCAACATGTTGTGTCTCGATCCACTGACCTCGGTAAGAGCTGCTGTGTGTTTCTCTCCACATGAGATGTATGTGACTCTCTGGGTCCTCAGAGCAGCCAGCTCTGTAGGCTCTCCTGTGTCTGGGGTGATTCAGGGAAGAGAGAGAGAGAGAGAGAGAGAGAGAGGAGAAGCACTTACGTCCAGATTTACCAAGACATTACATCACTATTACAGCTGTTTTCAGTTGTTCAATACGTACAGTATAGGGCAAGAGCTAATTGTAAGATTTTTAATGGAAAATCTGGATATTACTCAGGAAGAGAGGATCTACATGTGGCGTAGGACTACGTATTTCACTGGTAGTAAAGTTGCGGTAAACATGTTGTAAAAAATAATTGAGTCAGGGACCTTACGTTCTTTAATTTATTGTATGTACGTATGGAAAAAAGAACAAATAGAAAAAACATATTTTAGTGAAACCAATTGGTGTGGCTGGAAATGACATAAGAGTCTCCTTTACATATTCAATGATCGTGTTTTAAGTTGTTTGTTTTAGTGATAAAAACTAGCATGCGGCTGAAAACGGACAATCTTTGTTCCACGTTCAATGTCAAAGTTTTCAAGTAAAACCCCTTTGATTTTACTTTGCATGTGGATTTGTTCTTTCCCCTATCTATCACCTTCAATGTTATCACTAGTTGAGTATTCATGTGTGTGTGCACCAATAATGGACATCCCATTCATTTCCAGCACTGAAACTACTGGTCCATTTGTCTAATGCGACAATTTTTACCAAACTGAAAGAGTCCAGATAGCTATATATGAAAAACAAGTTCCCTATTTTTAATAACAACACCTTTTCCCAAGTTGTGAGAAGTAATAAACAGCCAAAGTCACGCCACTAGCTGTGCATGTGCATGGCTATAAAACCCCAAGACTCTTTCAGACTTCCCCAGTCGTCCTGCAACCACTTCTGGAGATACAGTATACTGCTGCACTCTGCTACTGACAGCAATGGAAGCAACACGAGTCATGCTGGTGCTGGGGCTAGGAATAGCCATGCTGTGCCTGCTCCAGCCAGTCAGGGGCAGGCCTTCGTCAACTCGCGTCTCTCGCCTACACTCCCCGAGCCAGACGAGCTCTCAAGGCACGACTGCATCGGAGGAGGCCTTTGGGGCCATCGGTGGCTTTGTCTTGAACCAGTTTCTGAGCCTGGTCCTGAACCGGCTCACAGAGGACAGCTCCTCGCCGGGAGACGGCGGGCTGGGCAGGGCCATGCAGAACCCCGACTCTCCGGAGTTTGTGGAGGTGAAGGACGAGCTGGTGAAGGAGATAGAGGGGCTCCTTAATGGCCAGACGGACACTCCGACTCAGGCACAGACAGGCAACACACATCAGGCAAGTTCAAAAGCTTTACGCGCAGTAAAATCACTGTATATATAGAGCAGTGCTACGTACATCAACCAAAAGGATTAGGTCCAACACCACTATAATGTATCATGACAAAACTAGAAGCAAAGGAGCAAAGCACTAAGAATAATATTTCAGCCCTGAACCTTGAAGAGAAACCAAAGCAAGGTTGTAGGATTTTGCTTATCACCTGGCTGAATGAGTCCATTAACAATTATCCTCTGTTAATGACAGGGACGGGAGAGCGCGAAAACGCAGTTCATCTCCAGGGACACGTGGAACGTTGCCCGAGAGTGCCTCAACGACATTCTCAGTCCTGATGACAGGGGCTCCCCCTCTCGAACCTCGGAGACGGCCATCGAAGAGGTGAAGGGCGTTCTGTCGGGGAAGATGAGGCTGTCTCAGGCCAGTGCCCAAGTGAGGCTCAACTGGCCGGTCATCAGAGGATGTGTGGACCGGTTTGCAAACAGAAACGACCCCAGCGGAGGTGCCCGCACACAGTTCTCTTTTTTTGGTGAGTTACGCCCACACCATAAACACAGGGGTGGAATCTTGGAGAGGGGGAAAGAGACGTTGAATATGCCAAGCACTTGGAAACTCCAGCCAGTATAGGTCCTGCTACGTACGTAAGTGTTTGCATCTGCGAATTATCCCCCGTTCCGTCTATTTTATGTCCTAAGTGCCTTGATGATGCATGTGTAGTTGACTTGTTTGATTTACCTGGTGTGCCTTTCTACCTCGTAGTTGTCACTTGCAATTCCCAATAGACAATTAATCGGTCATGTAGCGGGCCCTCTAAAGTAAAAGCAAAAAGTGTCTCCTGTCTTTGCCACAACAAAAGCTGTAGCTGCATTCGTATGAGCTGTAACTAAAAGGCAGTTGTAAAAAAAAATTGTTTACTAGATTTTCTAGATGATGACTGTATTCTGGAGCTCGATGTGCTAGCCGTCACTGGAGACACGAAAAACTCCTTCACCGCACACCCTCCCATCCTCGAGATGACTGTCGGTGACGAGGTTGGGTCGGTCCAACTCCCGCCCGTTACCGGTGACGAGTTCCAGAGAGGCGGCGGAGACCTGTGGCGGTTCGACATTGCCGAGTTTGGATTCACTCAAGAGTGTATCGAGGTATGCGACGTGGACGGGATGGCCCTGCTGCCGGGTGGGACGGACGGATGGAAGATAGAGAGCATCGTGACCCAGGTCCTAACAGACGACAGAGAGTATCGTGTGCTCTCCAGCGACATTGGGGCCGACAGGTGGATCGACGGCAATGGAGGAGAGGAAAGAAGGAGGTTTGATCTCACTCTGTACGAGTGAGGGCTGCGGTCGTCAGTCAAGACTGAGGAGACATTTTGAGACTCCAATAAAACTGTCGTAGCTTGATTTGCTGTTTTACCATTATGCTTGTACTGTACGTAATTACAAGAGTGGACTTCACACTTAGGGCTATCAAAAACGGGAATGTTGCTAAATAACTAATCTCAAATGCTACAATCAAAATACCAGAGTAATTCACTAATGTACACACTATGCATCCTTGGTTATCCAAATTGAGCCAGTGGGACGCTCAGCTTCGGAGAAATGCAGCAGGGTATACGTACCATAGATCGGCCATGGCTGATATATGTACATATGAATCTATGGTCTATAAAAAACACCTTTCTTTTTCTATTGCTATTCAAATGTTTACATATTACATCGTACGTAAGGGCATGTGGACTTGGGAATGAACTTATCTATTGAGAGGAGCAGAGGAGTGAACAGTGGGTCTGTTTGGGAAAGCTAAACTACATTATACAGTGCGCATGTTCCACACAATAATATGAACCAGAGGAGTGGATACAACAGACAACTAGCCAATATAGTATAAGTATTGTACATACACTGTAAGTATGGTACGTGTACATACCTCTGTCGTGTCCAACTCCCAACTGACCAAATCTGGAAAAACATAAAACACAACATCAGTGGAACAGCACAACAGTATAAGTTTATACATACACTGAAATACACGGTAATGGGGCCTTTGAGAACTACTGGGAATTTATATTAATTCTGGGCTGGAGTGACTGCTGAACTACACACTTACACTACACACTATGGGAATATCATTGCAAGTGACTGTACAGTACGTACGTGTTCCTGCCCCAGCCAAAGACGGTTCCAGAGATGGAGACCACCATACTGTGGGCCTCTCCTGCTGCTACGTGGAGGATGGGCAGACCCAACAATGCCAACACCTCCTAGAGAAATAGTACAGAGAGGACACAGAATGTAGTGTACACATGTAAGTATACGAGAGAAAAGGACTGACAACAATTGGAGGGTGGAATAGCAACACTATCTATCCCGAAACCAGCGAATGAAGTCTTTTATATTTTCTGCCGTTTTTTATGCCCAGTGGTGGATATTTTCCTAGAAGGGATCAATGACTGCATAAGATGTCGCAGAATTTCTTAGTCAAGCTGAAAAAACACAAAACTACGACAACGACAAGAGAAACAACAGGAGGGAAGTAGTGAAAACAAGAGATAGATGAGGGAGGGAAGACTGTTGTATCTCACTGCTTTTCTTGCGGGAACAAGAGAAAAACAAATGACACACTAACCAACTACAAATGTTTGACTATAATCAGAGGGTGGAATAGCAACATGTATCTCGCTGCACCTATCCCTATCTCGCCTCCCTTTACCCACCCCCCACCCCCATAATAGTTTAAACAATTTTGCTTTTTTGAGGGAACAAGAAAAAAACAAATGACACACCAACCATCCATAAAGTACCTGAGGTGAGGAGAGAGTGTGGACAGAAGCTCTGAGACCTAGCTGGCCATATGCATTACTACCCCAACTGAACAGTCGTCCACCTGTGCAGAGTTTATCATAATCACATGTAGTTTAAGGAGCAGTCTATACATACACGAAGATGAAGCGTACAAATCTCAAATGTATGGCATAATGCAAGATAACCTGTGTCATCCCTAGAACTATGCAAGTACTATACTTAACACTCACCATTCGTGAGTGCCAGGGTATGGTGTCCACCACATGCCACTTGCAACACTCTCATCTTAGTCAGACTCTCCACTAGTCTGAAGATGTACATACATACATACATATGTGCATACAAGAGATATATACAACACACAGCAACAATACAATTCTCAGTGCCTAACACCATCGACAAGGGTTCACTAGTCGATAGGGCATGGGGGGCAAGAGCTATCACGGCTATTATATACATGATAAAAAAACTAACTGAGGGAGTCCGAGATGAGCTATGGAGGAGGCAACCCCTAGTTGACCGTGCTCGTTACTCCCCCAGGAATACACCTGTCCACCGGCTGTCAGAGCCAACGAGTGGGCGTGGCCACAAGCTACATGGGTCACGCTCACCCCAGGTATACTGAGTGAGTCAATACGAGCTGTGGAGGAAGGGAGGGAGGGAGGGAGGAAGAGAGAGGAGAGAGCTTGAACTGATGTACAAATACATGAGCACAATCGTGCCGCATAACTTTGTTTTAACAATGGCACCTTCTATAGGTATGGAAGTCGACCAGGAATGTGTTGCATCAACAACTTCATAATCAGTATGATATGCGGTTGGCCATTACATAAGGTTTCACAATGGAGAGAAAATCAACGGGGTTATTGACCCCTAGTGCCACCCTCACCCCCCAATAAATCCCACTTATTACAGTATATATGTCGCACCAAGCAAGAGTACAGCAGGAAACTTGGGAGGAAACTCACAATTCTGTACCAAAATGTTTACAGAGGAAATCCTGCAGTCCAAAATATGTCTTTGTTTAATGAAGAAAACCTTTATTAAAGCATGAACCTCGAAATGTTAACCTCTACAGTACCCAGAGTGTCACACACTGACCAGGTCTGGTGGAGGAGGTATCCTGTCCACACTGTCCCTTCTCATTCCTCCCACATGACCACACCTCCCCCGAGTCTGTTAGTAGGAGAGTGTGGGCTTGGCCACAGGCTATCTGCCTCACCCTCACACCAGCAGATTGGAGACTCTTCAGAGATCTGAGATGGTGCAATGTACTGGTATCACCCTAGTATACACTATGGCGATAGTATCTTAGTACACCAACAGCCCAGCTTTAGTTTCCTCCCCTCCCTGACTATATATAGTAATCAGGCAAGACATATACGTAGGACAAAGCTTTGCATAGTACAAGTCACATCATCAAGTGAATCAAGCCTCCCCGGTCTGTCTCAATGCAGGGTTTTCTGCTGAATATTGATACGTGAGTGAGGAGCCGAGCACGCTATAGTAATTCTTCCATAATATGTAGCATGAAAAATTTAACTGATCATGCAGCCTGCCTGCTTATACACCAAGAATGTTGTTGTTCTCTATAGTACTAAGAATGGTGCCTAAGTACAACAGTGTGACCTTGGTTCATTGATGGTGGTCTCCTCTATTCCCCCGAGTCCCAGTTGACCATCCGAGGTCTGTCCCCAGCCAACCACCACAACACTCGCCTCCATGTTGTATGTTGTATACTGCAGTTAGTTCTGTACCACAGAGCCCCTTTCTTCTTGCAAGAAGAGAGGAGGGAGAGAGGGAGGGGAAGGAGGGGGAAGAGAGATATGGAAAAGTAGACCGGTATAATAATATTATAGTTGATGCTTTTTGTATACATATTATGTACATACAAAAAGCATCAACTCATCAACCGTTACTCACATGCAAGCTTCTTATCCCACACACAGTACCCTACATTTTAAAGTTGACCTCTCCCTCTACATACCAAAAACCCTAACCTGTGTACTTCTCAATATACGTGTACGTGTATTACCTGAAAATTGTTCACATAACTTCAGACTTACCCCCAATGGAAGGACAAAGAGAGGAAGTCATGGGGAAAGAGTATATACATGATCAACACCAAGAAAAGTACGTCATTCATAATTGCAGGGAGTGTCCTCGAATTTGGAGTAATGCAAATTCAACATGCCGAGGCAGCAAATGAATTCTATCAGGAAATGCCATTCGATGCACTTTTTACTTGGCAACCATTGTGCTTTATATACAAACCGATGTGTGTCTCTTTCAACTGTAACACACTGCACAATTGTACATGTCGACAGGACTACTACAGCACACACAATGTACTGTGTAAAATCATGTAGCGAGCAAACACCACGAACTAGAGCGATAGCTCGGGCCCATGTTGTACAAAACAAAACACGATTGGGGTTTAGCTAGCCAACAGCAACGTTCAACTCACCAAATCTCAAATGTTCCTTGTCCAGCTAGAACGCACAGAGTCACTAAGTCAGTTTCGGACGTCGTTTTCTACCGTAGTCGTTTCCTCATGCCAGAACTTTCGCGAAGGAACTTGACGACCAAGACACCGAATTATTTTCTCTAAATATTGCTCACCAGCAACGAGCGCCACGCCCCCGCGTTTGCGGCAGCGCAGATGATGGGCACCGAACTTGTGGGTTTCGTATACCCAGCTTCTAAGTATTCAATGATTGTGTTTTACTATCTCACATTGCAGGTGGAGAATGGGTCAGAATGTGTGGTGAGACTTGAGGTCCATACTCTGAAAACACTGAACCATCAACTGAGAACCACCATCGAAAGCCTGAAACTAAAGGTAGTGTTCTTTCTTCTCTGAATGATAATGACAAAGTGGCATGCATCGCCCAAGCAGGATCCCTTCATTGTTCACTTTTTTCATGCGCATGTAGTTAAACTACGCGCATGCCATGTAACTGTTTGCTCGAATGGATCTGGCCTACACAGCTTGTAGTAGGTAAGTATGCTCATTCATTATTCATACAGATTCTCCAACTTGAAAAAGAGAGCATACGCCAGCTCCTAATCATCTCCGGACTAATAGAAGAGAACCACAGGTTGAGGAGGCATGAATGTTCACTAAGTTCAGAACAGTTGGAGGGTGAACGTAATGAGATAAACGGAGAAGCAATTATTAGGGACTGTTGTGACCTGCACTGTGGTCATAAATATATTGAGGGACAAATTACTAACTTGAAAAAGCACCAACATTTGGTAGAAAACGATGGGGGTTGTCTCACACTACAAACCATGTCTCAGGTTTGTCTTTGCACGTGTTACTGCTACATACACTTAAAACACTTGTCTGGATTGTATATATTATCATGATAGTAGTTTTGTTGTATCACCAACAGATGGAGCAGGTACAAACACCAAAGTTGATCAGAGAGATAGGTGGAGGACTGAATGGAAAAGTGTGTCTTGTGGAGGTGAACGGTCTTCGCTGCATTACGAAGAGACCACGGGACACCTCATCTTCCACCCCTGCCAGCACAGGACGAGCTCTTAAAGTCCACGCCAACTTTCACAGGGAGATACAAGTCCTACCACAATTACATCATCCACACGTCATCCAGTTTCTGGGAGTACACTTTGAACCTGGTGGCTTGGCACTCGTCATGGAGTACCTGCCACTTGACCTGGATGTGTTACTCTCTACATGCCGGGGACATTTCCCCCTGCCCCTTCAATTATCAGTTCTCCATGATGTCTCCCTGGGAATGCAGTACCTCCACACCAGGGGCATCGTTCACTGTGATCTAACTCCCGATAATATCCTGCTATCATCTGCTCTCCAAGCAAAGATTGGTGACTTTGGATCCTCAAAGCCGCTCGGTAGCAGAGATATCACCGGATATCCACCAGATATGGCACCGCATTTTCGTACTTACATGCCGCCAGAAGTGTTTGAACCCAACTTTCTCTACACTGACAAGTTGGACGTGTTCACTTATGGAGTGTTGGCTCTGTACGTGGCTACACAGATGTTCCCAGTCCGGTACATGGGGAGTGGGGTGAGTGAGGAGGCCAGGGAGAGAGGAGAGGTGGAGCTGGAGAGACACGGACAAGTCTTCTCGATGCTGGAGCACCAGGGCCACTGTCTCGTGTCACTCATCACAGAGTGTCTGCAGGATGAAAAGGAGAGAAGGATGAGTCCACGAGCCATCACAGTCTGTCTCAAGAGTTGGCTGAATGTGTACCCAAAACAACTCCAACACATTGTAGAATTGAATGTTGTAGTTCGTGATCAGCTATTGGTCACATGAGTGCATGTAAGCGCTGACAACATTTCCAAGGACTGAAATCGTGCAATTCTGTTGCGTCGGCTGATGGTGCGCATGTGCAGTTGTGCACACGTATCTTGTCGAGTCAGCACAACTAACTATAGCGGCTCCCACATACACGGGACTTCCCCCTGATGTCCACATTCGTTTACGGTGGACACGTAAACAGTCTTGCGCCAGGTCTGCATAGCATTTCGTCGCGTCGATCCAAAAACAGAGGGGCCGGCCGAGGATACTCTGCTAAAACGAAGACTCAGAGTACGATCACCAATTTTTTCTCTGGTGACTAAACCGACAGATCAGCTACTATATTATGTGACTGTTGAGAGCAGTGCTACATAGATACAGGTACTATATATACTACCTTATCTAATGAGAATGTGCGAAAACACAGTGTTGAGAGGGCTTGGCAGCTGAGTGATCGCGGTACATTTAGTGGGCGAGTTTACAGGGTGTTTTTTCGGAAGAGGTATTCCAAATAGTGCTCCCTAACCACTATTTACTTCGCTTTACATCCTCAGCCTGCGTGTTGAACATGTGATTGACAGAAAGTGGATGAGTGTATATTATACTCAAGTCTGTGATACTGTAGTAGTATATAACAATATTTGGGGTGTGCTGATAGTAGTGCAGAGTTTGCACTTTTACTGTGTCCACTCAGGCTTATCCTCAAGTATATACTTCTTTAGTCACAACAACTGATCTGGGTGTGTGGTCTATGGCTGTAGTCTTGTGCCCAGACCCCACCAAACCACCACGTGAAAGGGGGGTCTTACAGGAGCCTAAAGGTGGCTCATAAGCGTATGTACAATCCGTGGCCCTACAGATCACGATATCACAATCTCTGATCAAGGAATGTGCATCCTCTGGTAGGCGAGCCTTGTATGCATCACATACACTCCAAGAGTGGTTTAGTACATATGTACAAGACGTCTTTATTAATTTCCCTTGTGGCTGGAGCAGTTGGGTATGAGACTTGGCCAGGGCACTATATACAGCAACCTCCTTTAATAATTTTTTCTTATGTGAACACTAGAACAGGTGTGTCGAGTGCTTGAGCTGTGTTGTGAAAGGAACGTTTGTTTTCACTAGGAATTTTGCAGACGTCATGTTTTTATACTCTGTTGATGGCCATCATAACCCCTTTTTCAAAATGGCTATTCATGATAAAGGGATCATTATTTTGAAATACAAGAGAAACTGTTTTCAGATCGTCTATCCTCTCTGTTGTATATAACAAAGTTTATGTCTACTTAGAAATTTGAGAGAGTTTTATCCCTTGAAAATTTCCCACTATACCATTGCGACAGTGAAACCGTAATCCAGTACACATTACTGAAAGTGTTAAGTTTCAGAAACTGAAGTATAATATGGTAGTTTACTAAACTTCATGACTCCCTTTAATCAAGGGGTTAAGGTGCGCGTACACAGCTATGTACATGTGTATAATACTAACACTTGATAAGGGGTAGGAGGTTGGCTAAAAACTAGAGTTTCGAAAGAACACATGTTCCATGCCGGCATGTGCTCCAAATAATGCCAACCATCCCTGTTCTATAGAGAGCTCCAAATAATGCCAACCATCCCTGTGTACGTGGAGCAATAGTAGGCAGATTCTCTTGCGCATGCCTATAGCCACTCACTGAGCAGTCAGGGGGCGTGACCTACCGTAATTGAGCCGTAATAGAACATTGTAGTGTACCATAAAATAGTTAACCAGTATCTTCACCCACAAGTGTGCGAGCGGCCTTGAATTCAAAAAGACGAGTCCTCCAATCTGTATGTTGTATATATACTGCCTTCCATTGTAGTGACTCTCTATCATGTTCTACACACGCATAGTAGACTATTAGTGATAAGTATGCCATCTTAATGAAGGTGGGCATCAATTTGTGTTTTCCCGTGTTGAGCTCTGTTTGAATTCCCACACTTTTACTCCTGTTTTGCATGTTCATACAGAGCATACTGGAGGTCATGTCAAGACATAATTCAGACAACAATCGATACCCTTCCTCCCGGCCTCCACCCCCTTACAACAGTGGTAGTCAACAAAGGCAAAATTATGGGGGTTCCTTCACTCATCCATACGGTGTTCCCACAACAACAAACGCTGGAGTCAATTTCAACTCTGGTGGCACAAATTCTCAAAGACGTCACAGTGAACAGCTGGGGGGAATGGGAGAGGTAGGAGGAAAGAGAGGTGGAGATTTCCCACGAAGTCAGTCTCCTAATAGCTCATCTGGTACCAACAGCAGCAATATGGGCGCCGCGATGGCTAAGTTGAGTCCTGCTGGGAAACCACCTGTCGCACCACTGAATGTACCGTCCAGTGGAAGGAGTGGCAGGCCGGCTACTGGACCAGTGAGGGCTGCTCATACAGTGCAAGGGATGCGGGAAAGATCACAGAGTGTGGAGTCGACCGAGGAGAGCGAGTCGGCCATCGAGATGGGAGGAGGGATGAGGGGGAGAATGCGAGATGTTGAAGGTGGTGCTGTGTTGATAAGTGTGACTTCAACCAGTCAGGTACATACGTAGAATTGTGTGTCTCGCATTGTCCTCACGTGTTGGGAGAAAACACTGAGTACTGTATGTTTTTGCTGCAAATCTTCTCAGGCTGGGGACAGTTCCAACCTCGCCCGACCTCCACTGAGCTCTGTCACAAGAAGAGAAGGTGGTGTACCTTCTACCATCAGTACTGGACCCACTGCCAGCCAAGAACCACTCATGGTACACGTACACATCCTATAAGAATTAAACAGCATGTGCAAAGAGAGAATACGATAAAGTAGGGCTATAAGGGAGTACTCTTTTTTTAAAAACTACACAAAGGGCTATGTATATACCTTGCTATGCATGCATGTGTGAAGCTGCTTTGTATATTATACAATGGCTCCGGGCTATCTTGGGAACGAGGGCTATTCCATTTAATGCCACTTTTTACTTGTTGTTTTAATAAGAGAGATTATACTGGGTGGAGTTTATTGTTGGTCCTCACTGCAGCGTCGGGGCAGCAGTGGATCTCCCTACAATAGTGGTGATATTCGTTCTGGTGAAGGGGTCATAGGTCAGCCCCACTCTTCCCAGTTCCCTACTGGTACCTCTGACCAGGTAATGTACAAGTTAGACAGGAAAGTTATTGTTTTCCAGTGTTAGTCTATAGGGGGCTGACCCTCTCTCCCCTTCCCTCCCTTCTGCTTCACGTGTGCTTGTAAAATTAGCATGCGCAGAAAGCACACATGCAGGGAGAGAGTCGATAGACTAGTCCCATTGTGTATGTTGTCAAGAGAATACATGTTGTATGAGCTGCCCGTCCTTCTGCCTTCCCCTTCTCTCTTCCACAGTGGCATAGGAACCATGCTTCGTTTTTGTGCTTCCCATAGTGGCGTAGGAACGAAGGGGGCATGGAGGTTTTTTTTATCCTCAAACATTTATTTTCTAATTCATCCCTCCATCTTCCCTCTATTTGTTTGTCCTTCTCCTTTATTTCCTCTCTCTCTCTGTCCATCTCCTCCAGAGCAAGGCCAAGGCTGTTACTGGTGAAGGATCTATCGATTTCTCGCAGTACAAACGAGCATTGTCAAAGACATCTAGCTCTGGATCGAGCTACGAGGCACTCCCGGGCACCAAACGCTCAACCAGCCGTGACGAAGACCTCTTTGAACTGAGCGAGCAGCGTGACAAGGAGGTGACTCAGCTCACAGAGAGACTGAGTTCTGTGGAGGGGGAGAAAGAGCAACTGAGGAAAGAGAAGGAAAAACTGGAGAGGAAGTTGAATGAAGCGGAGCAGGTTGCCGCCCAAGCTGATGTCGCAGTAACAGAGGTACTGTATACACACATTTAGACTTTCACGGGTAGACTCGAGAGAGGGAGAATGGAGAGATTTTACTGTAAGAACTTGGGTCTGGAGACCGGAAATTAAATGCCTTAAGAGCTGTAAATCCCTAAAGAAAGGGTTTGACTGACAATAATAGTTCATTTTCCTCTCCTTCCTGACCTGACTACTGCTAACGAAAGCACTACAATGACTGCATTGTGTGTATGTTCATCTGTAGGTCAGCAGGCTTGAAGCAGAGTTGAAAAAGGAAAGGGGTGACATGATGAAGCTGCTGCGAGCAAGACAGACAAGCCCCGAGGCAGAAGGAAGATCATTAAGCCTGAAACTGAGTCATGAGCTTGACATTGTGCGGGCTAAACTAGAATACGAAGTTTCTGCCAGAGCAGCCGCGGAACAAGAGATGAGCAGTCTGAAACAGAGTCTAGTGGTGAGTGGTCGGCGTGGAGGCACGGACATTGTCAGCAAACTACGAGAGAGAGTAACCGAATTGGAAGGCAATGTTGATGGACTCCGGCAGGCGCTAGCTGGGAAGGAGCACACACTTGTCGAGAAAGAAACAGAGACAAAGAGACAGAATCAGGTCCAGGCACGCACCATTGCGGACCTGCAGTCCAAGCTGAGTGAAGCGAGACAGCAACGAGAGGAGCTGCGTCAATCATCGGGGAGTGGAGCTAGATCTCCTGGCGCTGGGTCTAGGACTGCCGTCACCTCACCCGACGTGGCAGCCATGGCAAAACAACTAAGGGAGAAGGAAGAAGCCATCCAGATGTATTCCCAGCAGCTGCAACAGTTTGAGAAGACTGCGAGAGAAGTGACAAAGATCACCCAACACTCCAAGCAGCAGAGCCTGAAAGTTGCCACTCTCAAAGAGAACCTTGATCATACTCAGGTACTGTAGGTAATACTCATGCAACTTTTATATGATTACATGTATACATGTATAATGTGGACTTGTCCCCAACCTGCATAGAGAGAGTTGAGTCTTGGGGGAAAGGCTAGTATGCCAACGTACATGCAGCTGTATAATTCCGAGAGTTTTTAGCTGCATTAGGTAATCACAATAACGCTTCAAATTTGGTTTTGTTTCGTTTCCTTCGTTTCCTTCCGCTTAGTGTTTACAATCATTTTATGTACTGTGTGTACTTCATGTTGCAGGAAGCCTTGGGAAAGAAGGAGGCAGAGTTGAAAGCAGTTCAAGCTGAACTCACTGGAATGAAGACACACTATGACAACATTTTAGAACAAAGACTGTGAGCTCATAGCTACTACATTGTGTATACCACATGACATGCATATTAGACTAATAGTGTGTGTAGTAAGTAATGTTAAGCTGTGGGTTTATTTAGTGCACGCAATTCATACACATGTATGGCCGCATGCTTTGGGCTTAGAAAAGCTCTCAGTGTTGACTTTTGATGTAACAAACAGGCTCAACTGGCCGAGAAAGAGGAGAAGATGAAGAAACTAAGAGAGGAGACTGAGGATCTAAGTGGCCAAGTGGCCCAGCTAGTAGAGGCGGAGGCCAAAAGGTCTGAGGGCGAGCAAGCTCTCCAGAGGGCACAGACACAGCTGAACCACTGGAAGCAGAAGTCGGTACAGCAAGACATGGTCCTCCAGACCAACAATCAGGTATATACGTATACTAATGCTGTGCTGTCTTTGAGCACACAAGCGTGGGGAGATAGGATCACGTGTAGTGTGCACAGAGTTGGGAAGAGCATGAAAATCTACTACTCTCCATACTGTGGTAATGTAAACACGTAAGCACTGGCACGGAGAGCGTGGCATGTGGTGTTACATACAATGTATACATGAGTCACTTGATGGCCCAATCATACATTCCCATACGCACATGCAATAAAGAGTTTCCTCCAACCCAAGCCCTCTCCTTTGTTGTTAACCCTCGGCGCGCATGCGAGGGTTACGGTAGTTGTCCCGTAAGTGTGTCTGTCAGTCTGTCCGTCTGTCATTCTGTCTGTTACCACGTTTTCTGCCACCGCGCGCACGAAATCAGGTAAATAGCGATATGATCGGGTTCAGTGCTACACTGGGTTGATTTTAAAAAAGGCGATTTTCGTAAAACTACTGCGTTCTAAAGTTATGGCGTGAAAACCAAGTGAACAAGCCAATATGGTAATTAGCACAGGCTTACCTCGACTGCGTCCGCGCGCTCTGTGTATCTTGAAGTCACAAGAAGTCACAACGAAGGGCATGTATCGACTCCCGCTTGCAATCTACTACTGTAGCTAGCCCGTGCCAGACTCTCCACGAGCTACTAGCGCGATACAACGAGTAAAGAAAAGAAAAGCCCAGCCCATCAATTAGTGGTACCGCGCATGCGCAGTTCGCCGAGGGTTTGCATTTAGTGCTTTTCATTTAAAATGCAGTGCAGTTTTTGGTGAGCGAAGGAAGCCCACCTAGTTTCTGAATGCAGAATTTTCCCGTATATCTGTAACGACCAATGGACCCACGCATCAACCATAATGTTTACGTGATTCTAAATAATATGCGCTAAAAAAGAGTGAAATATTGAAATGCTCACTCTGCTCGCCAAAAGTGTCCTTCAGTATGTCCTTGTGTTTGTTGTGTCCCACTAGGAGCTGGAGAGAGTCATCGTGAGATGGAGGGACTGAAGACGACGGTCTCGGCCCAGGGGAAGGAGGTGGAGAGACTACAGAGAGAAAACGACACTCTCAGAGGAGACATGGAGACTCACAAACTAACTGTAAGTTTCTATCCACTCTCGTTTCTCTGTTTCAGAGTGAGTAGGTGGGAAAATTCAAAACACGATTTCATCCCCTTCTATCCTATCTTTACCGTTTATGTAAATTGGGTATTACACATGTCTCCTGAATAGCTTTCCTGCAGCTCTGATTTCTTCTGAGCAGAATGGGGGTGGATTTCATAACACGATGATGTAGACTTTTAACAGAGAAACCTGAGTGACCAGTTGTCCATGAACCCGTTTTTACATGTATGCAGATCTTATGTGATGTTTTCAATGTACTGGTGTGACAATATTTCACAGGCCATGACGTACAAGGAGGATTTTGAGTCAGAGAGGAAAGACAGGGAGGCAGTCCACACCAAGATAGCCGAAATGGAGACCCGCTACCGTCACCAGTTGGAGGCCATAGGGGAAGAGCTGCGGAGGGTGACAGACGAGGCCAGGAGACACAGGGAGGCTGTGGCAACTAAAGAAGACGAGCTGCACACACAGAGTCAGCTGATGACTGCACAGTTACACCAGAAGGAGGCGGAGCTTGCTTCAGCAGGTCAACAGATCCAGACACTTGAGGTAAGTATATACTTTGTAATTGGCAAGCACGAGCCTACCTAGTCGTCTAAATGCGGGATTTTTTTCATGACAGACACTGCACATTGTACCATAATGTTTTGTGTGTTTCTAATTAGGCATTAAATATGGTAAAGTTGACTACTCATGTTTTGTCGCGTTACGTTCGTTCTAGTAGTAGAGAAGGCTAATGTGAAAGTTGTTTGTGAGTATCTGCTTTTCGTGGGCTCATTCAGGAGGAGGTGATGTCCAAGACCCAGCAGGTGAAGCAGTACAAGAAACAGATTGACCAACTCAGCTCAGAGGTAGCCACCTCCAAACAGCAGGCTCAGGGTCACATAGAACAGGTGAGCGAAGTACTGTGATACACATATGTACCAAGGGAATGGTGTGCTGTGTGCAGATTGAGTTCTATGCCAAGAAGACGGAGGAATACGGGAGACAGAAAACGTTCAGAGAGATACACGAGAGAAAGATTGTGCAACTGGAGGCTCAGTGTGACAGACTCAGGGCCGAGAATAATGTTTGTTATACTTCAGCAGTTATTCTTTCTCTAAAACACTACTGCTATCTTAACGCGAACGTCTAACACACTCCTCTTGGTACTGTACCAGACGTCCCATCATCCGTGTGCATTATCACATTTTCTCGTACTTGTCATAGAGAGAGATGATATCTGTTTGTACAGGAACTTCGCTCTAAGATGGATGCATTGAAGCTGCCAGCATCCAGTGCGGCATTGCAGTCGAGGACTCCTCCACTAATGAAGGCACACACACTGGGTGGTGGTCCCGCGAGGCCTGTGGATGGGGTGAGTTTTACTGTTTTTATAGGTCTAACCACTATGGTTGCTTTGGACGGTGTAATACATTGGAACTGACATTGACCTCTTTTGCCAGGGTCTTCCAAGCAAGTATCACGTAGGTGGACAACATGGGCCAAGTTCACCAACCCATGCAGACCGCAGTCACAACGCAGGATACCCACCAAACTATCAGCTCCATCACTCCAATCACAGCCCACCAAACCACCAGCACCACACGGCAACTCCTCCCTACTCTAATGCTGGGCCCATTCCCAGGCAGGGGACGGTGGGTGGACAGCCTAGTAACTACACCCCAGCTCCTCAATTCAGCAGACAAGATTCCCCTTACGCTTCACTGCCCAGCTCTGGCCTTGGCTACGCTCCCCCACCAGCCGGTGAAATGGTGGACAAAGACTCTCCACCAAACTCAGGCGTCGGTCTGGGGGTCCAACTTCTTCCAGGCCAGCAGCGACGGGCACACAGTCATCATATGTTGAGCATGGCCACCTCTGGAAACGCAGCAGGGAGATATCCTGCTCCTCCTCCACCTAATGCCCTCTCCAGACCTCCAGCTCAAGGCTATCAACCACAAGGGCACCAGCAACCTCCACCCATCTACTCCAACCTTCCAATGTACAATACTAGAGCCTCTGGCAGCGGTGGGGTCCCGGTCCAGGGGAAACATTACGGGAACCCAGAGAGACAGGCACATGCAGCAATGCGACAACCCCACACTCAAGATATTGCGTCAATAGCCAGAAGGGGTCCTCAGCTTTCAACTCCCACAGAGGAGACGTACCGACGACGCTTCCCGAAACCGCCACTAGAAGGATATGTGCAGCCTCAGCAAGCATCGTCCTCACACCCGGTTGCCGGGCAACGTCCAGCCGTGCAACCAATGGTGGGTGGAGCCTCGGGGAACTCTACCATCAGACCGTCAACAAGTGCTGGAGACATCTCGAAAGGCATCGACAATGTTATAGAGGAGACGGTGTCTAAAGTCAGGGAGGACGAGCAGGTGGCGGAGGGAGATGGTGGGGAGGGGATACCCTATGATCCAAACCTCGTTTGCCCCAAGTGCAGGATGAAATTTCGAGAGGGAGAGATTCAGAAGTTTCGGAGGCATGTTTCCTCGGCCCACAAGTGAAGAACGAGTTGTTTTTTACAAATTTGCAATAATAGTTGTGTGACTCTGACCATTTATAAGTACTATCACTCTCATGTGAGATTGTTCTGGCCTCGTTGCAAGATGATGAGGGGATAAATGACGTCACGGTATATACGCGCGAGATTATAAAACGGACGGGCCTGTTCCGCGATCCGAGGGGCGCAGCGTGCCTCTCCGTGTAACGTCCAGCGCGTGTCTATAACTCTGCTCTCCTTCTTAGCTTCCTGCGTGCGCTGTTTCTCTCGAGTCTGGAAAATGAGCGGCACTGAAAAAGTAACCGCTATGAGATTTACGTGAACCTGCACTACTTACAAGGCCTGTTCTAGGTGGAGCTGTTTTCAGCCTGTCAACGAGGAGAGTTGGAGACTGTCAGGAGGCTATCAGACCAAGTGACTATAAGGGACATTCGATATGGATATAGCCAGAGTCCACTGCACATCGCCGCGAGGTTGGTGCCTCTCATGGGAGAGCTATGAGTGTGTGCGTGTACGTGCTCAACGTCACTGTTTCGTCACGTATTATTCATGACGTATTTGTCGTCATGTTACGTCTGCAAGTATTGTGTCTGGTTAGTGTTCCTGTTTCTTTGTGAGTGCCTCTGATTGTCTCTCTATGCGGCACCAGGGTAACCCCCTGACCCCTTTGAATAGGGCATTCGAGCCTTAATTTATCCAAACACTGGGTGCTGATGCTCATAGTGCATTGCTTGTGTGTACACGTGAAGTCCACAAAAATTACGAATGTGCACTTGTAAGTGACCAACCAAGACACTCGGTCCAGCTTTGCTCTCATATGCACCTGCAGTTAGCCTTTGTCAGCAGGGGGATAAAACATAAACCACAGAGTATTTAACTGGTTCACAGTATATATATATATACACGAGCCTGTCCTACAGTACATCGTCCAGCATTGAGATTACACACTTGCAATACTGTGTGGATTGCATCCCCGAGTACCAAGTGCACGAGTTATTCATTGCTAGCTGAAGCTATCCAGCTAGGCAGCTCAAATGGTCTCTCAGTACTTACATTTTTGCGGAGTCATATGGTCGCCAAGTTAAAACCTTGCAGACACATATGTTAAGCTAGGCTCGCAGACGTGGCTATGCTCCCATGCAAGGTGCTTGCTCAACTCGGGGCCAACTGTATCAACTATTTATGGTTTTGGTGTTCAGTGTTTGCGTAAGTCAAGTTGTGGTAGGAGAGGTGTATATACTTTGCTGCAGAGAGGGTCATCTGGATGTGGTGAGATATCTGGTGACTGAAGCTGACTGTGATCCTGATGTCAGAGATGATGATCAGGACACTCCCCTTCACACTGCCTGCAGGTACACTCTACTTTGTGTCTCAGTTACTGTCCCATTCTCCTCCATTTATTTGCATGACTTACAGCGTATACTTGTTCCTGAGATTATGTTGTTTCCTGGATTAATTGTATGCCAATGTCCTGACTCGCCCTTTTTGTGCACACGCATGGGGCATTGTTCCTTCGTACGGTAGTATCAATAACATAATCAGCAACCTCTTTAAACACTTAACCAGCCACGGACACATAAATGTGTCCAGAGCCTCCATAAGTCCATATGGGGTCATAATACTAGGCACTAATACTTTGAGATACCCGTGGCGTCCAAAGGGTTAAAAGCAGTGTTTAGCATGTCATTGCCTAATCTGCGTGGTATTTATAAGCATGTAAACACGAGGCCATAAGGGAAGGTATATCATGCAATTACCAAATGAACGTCTAGTCCATGTGTCAATATTGCTCCAGGTATGGTCATCTGGATATGGCGAAATTCCTTGTTGCTGAAGCCAAGTGCGATCCAAACGTGAAAAATAAAAATGGAGAAACCTCTGTACAGATTGCCTGCTGGTAAGACGTGTACAGTACGTTGCACGCTAGATATTTGTTGTCCACACGTGTTCTCTGGATTGCTGTGCAGGAGTGATCATCTGGATGTGGTGGGATACCTGGTGAATGAAGCTCACTGTGATCCTAATGTCAAGAGTAAAAGAGGAGAAACTCCTCTCCACAGAGCCTGCAGGTTAATAGACTGATGTATACAACCAGTATTTATTATGACTCAGTGGACCAGTCTCTATTTGTACATGCACATACTTAGTATGTATATATACATTTGAGCCAATAAAAGTGGAAAACACACAAATACATTAGCTGTGTGCAGCCCTCTTTCTGGTTTTACGTGTGCAGGGAAGGTCGTCCGGATACAGTGAGGTATTTGGTGACAGAAGCTGGTTGTGATCCTAATGCAAGGGACGGTAGTGAACAGACCCCTCTCCACTGGGCCTGCAGGTGAGCTCAACAATATGTATATATATACAGTGCTGGTGATTTGAGTGTGGTGGGTGGGCCAGTTTTCGAGCTTTTAGCCTTTTTACAATTAGTAGGTGTAGAAATGAATGAAGTTGCAGCTGCGGTGGCAGTTAAAAAAGATACAAAATGACAGATACACAAATGCTACCGACGTACTATAGTTAACCTCACTCTGTGGACCCACAGTGTTATAATCAAGACACTATCGTAGCCAATTCTCTCTGCCCAATGTTGCTTGTCCCTCTGCAGGGTAGGTGATGTGGATGTAGTGAAATATATGTTGACTGAAGGACACAGTGATCCTAATGCCACTGATAATGAAGGGGCATCTCCTCTCCACACGGCCTCCAGGTTAACTATTGTTTTATATGAGAGTGTGTTGGAACGCCGATGATTGTCAGCATTTGCCTGATTCCGTCTGGCAAAATTTTGCTGCGAATTGAGTGACCAATAATTGGTCAGCAATGTTAGCCCACCCAGTCCTCATTTTTTGTGTGTAGACATGCAGTGTTGTCTACACTGTAGTTCACGTAAAACCACAAAAATTTCACACTCCCATTTGCTCACTGATACACTACCTTGCATTTTTGTGTTGTTAGCCCCAGGACAACCAGAAGCAGTACAAAACCCCTAGCTGGGTACTGACTATGACGTGGGTAGGGTTGGTGGTCACAGCCATACAGTTCCCCAGTGTGATTGGCATAGTTTGTCACTTGCCATTTCGTGTGACTGCTGAGACTGTTTGAATTTGGGGAAACACTGTTTGCTTTCTTTCTTGTATATACCCATTATTGGCTGTTGTGCGTTTGTTTTAGGTATGGTCAACTGGATGTAGTGAGGTATCTGGTGACTGAAGCTCAGTGTGATCCAAACATCAGAAACAAAGACGAAGAGACTCCAATCCACACTGCCTGCCTGTGAGTCGTGCTTTTGTTGTGGTCAAGTGGGCAAAGGATAAATTGCCTTCTCCCTTCTTTCCTTGCATCAACCTCAATCACTCTTTGAGTAAAATCCCCGTTTTTAATGGTATTTAGCTGCAAATTTCTGTGTTGTTTTCCAGGAGTGGTCACCTGGATGTGGTGAAGTACCTGGTGACCGAGGCTCACTGTGATCCAAATCCACAGACCAATAACGGAGAGACTCCGCTCCACACTGCCGGCAGGTCAGCTGAGGGATGGGGCAAGTTGTGACACTAGGAAAACTCTCTTTTCCTCCTTAGAGAGAGTTACTGGCGTGTGTGTGCACTTCTTGGCTTTCTGTTACCACTTTAGCAGTAACATGTTTCTACGCCTAATGGTTTAGGCTTTAGTAGCACAGGTAGACTTTGCCAACATCCGTGATAATCATTGGCGAATTTCGGCAAAGTCTACCTGCACGGCAATCAAGGAGGGAAGGGTATGGTCTAACCTTCCCCCCTTGATTGCTGTGGGGTTAACATACAGGCCCTGAACAGAATACTGTAGCAATTCTTACATATGACCGCCTTGTTCCAGGAAGGGTCATCTGGATATAGTGAGGTATCTGGTGGGTGAGGCTAGCTGTGACCTGAATGCCAGGGACACCAATGGATACACTCCTCTTCACACTGCCTGCAGGTACTGTTACATACGTAGTTGTTTGCTCCATTGAGGAGTTGATACTGTGCCCTGTTCTAGTCACAAGTTTCTGATTGTCCCTGTAGGTTTGGCTCTCTGATGTTGTGAGATATCTTGTCACTGACGCTGGCTGTGATCCCAATGTCAGAGATGATGATGGAGAGACTCTTCTCCACAAAGCCTGCAGGTAAACTTATATAACTCTCAACACATTGTGCAGTAAAGGAGGACGCAAAACCCTATTGATCCTGGGACTAAAATTAGTGTGGACTCCTTATACACTTCCTAAATCACCACCACAATAAGTATACACTCGCAAAGGACCTCACATCCCAATATCACCCGTCATCAAGATTCTCTTCTTCTGTACGCCATCACTACCTTCACCACATCTTCCACTATATACATACATCACTGTACATCCCTTCTAGTTAGCTCATATAGCTACCACTAGAGCAGATAGGTATGCAAGTGAGTCAGTTTTAATAGACCCCACGACCAATATTTTGGAGAACATTTACAGCAACCATGATTGGGACAAATCTACTCCAATCCATATTGATGTATATACAAAGTGTGTTCTGTAGCCCATAGTTTACCACAAAAACTTTGCATCCTGTTTACATTGAAGCACTTCTTGTACCTAATGTTAGCAAGCAGCCGTGAGATGTGCATTAAGCCATTTTGCTTTTGCAGTATGGACCATAAAGGACTGGTTGCGTATCTACTAGCAGAGTGTAACGCTGACCCCAACTGCACCGCAAACAATGGATTCACACCCACGTCCCTCGCAGAAAACACGGAAGTTGTCAAACTCCTTCTGCAGTACGGCGGAGTCAGCAAAAATCTCACGAAATGCCTCCTGGCAGCCCAATGTTCAACTCTAGTGCCAGAGCCCATTTCATCGGTGTTTGTGGTTGGGAGACGAGGGAGCCGGCAAGAGCACACTGATCAAGGCACTGACAACTGAGAAAAAGGAAGGGGGGCGGAGAGGTTGGCGTTCCAGAAACGTGAAAGTGACTGGCGTGAGGGGAAAAACTGCTGGCGTAGTGAATCACGAAGTCCGAAACTTTGAAATGCGAAGTCTCTGGATTTACGACCTGGCCGGGAACCGCGCGTTTCGCAGTGCCCACGACACGGTCGCTAGAAGCAGCATTAAATCGGCAATGTTTGTTCTCGTAGTAAATCTCTGTGCCGCACTTGTCGATTTGAAAGCAAACGGTCTCTTACTGGATCTCCTTCGTTCAGGGTCAAGTCTGTGCACAATCGTCTTCGACATCACCAGTCGCCTTGCCTTACCTTCTAGCAGTAGGGAGCCACTCAGACTCGGTCAGGTCCAAACCAGCCCTGGAAGAGAAAGAGGGGGTTGTACGAAGCCTCTGTCGAGATGCCCAAAATCTCATCTTTGTCGAATATTTCAGAGTTGACTGCCGCTACCACGACACTCCGCCACTCACCCAACTATCGCAGCAAATCAACGCAAACATTATTGGCTGAAACAAAAAGCCCCGGAAGTCACCTTTGCTCTCACACACTCTACATCTACCTGGTCTCGGATTGCGCAAAAAAACCTGGGGACTACGGTTAGGCAGCCTCGTGAAGACCATAGAGTCCGATCCGCTCTCGTGGAAAGAACGGTTTCTTCCTCAAACGTTGGAAGAAGTCCACGAAGCTTGCAGTATCATCAACGACAGAGGTCTCATACTCTTCATCAGGACACAGCCCTTAGAGAACAGTTGGATCGTCATTGATAAAGATATGCTCCTTCGGCAAGTATATGGGGCAGTCTTGTCACCTCGTGACTTTGCTGAGCACAAGTCACTCACAGTGACTGGCGTTGTTCCCTTCTCGAAACTCTGCAGCACGTTTGCAGAACTCATCGAGGCAAAGAAAATTGATCCGCAGCTTATCGTAGATTTTTTAGTCCACATGGAGTTTTGTCGGGAGATCAGGGAGGACGATCTTCTCAAACTGGTGACACAGGCTCCCACAGAGTACGGTAAAGAGCGCCACTTTCTCTTCCCAGCACTGACACAGCAGAGTCCTCCGCACGACCTCTGGCAGCCCCAGCCTGACCAGTACAGCTGCTGCTGGGTCCTGCGATGTCTGGACCACCATTACCTCAGCCCTCGGTTCCACCAGGTCCTCTTGCTCCGACTGGCCTTTGAGCACAGCGAGGCCGTGGAACCTCACAAGGTAGCAGCCAGGAGTCCTGTCCTCCACCAGCAGTGCTCCGTCTGGAGGAACGGCATCAAATGGACCACTGACACCTCTGATGTCCTGGTAGAGGTCACTGACCACAGCGTAGTCCTCTTCCTCTCCTGCCGGAGCGACGTCGGCAAAGAACTTGAACTTGTCAACACACGAGCGCAACTTATGAAGCAAGTATTGAAAGCAAAGGCGGAGTTTTGTGGTGCATCGAGACAGTAGAGGAGTTTATCCCCCACCCTCAGTACCCAGTGAACATCCCCTGCACCTCAGTTTCAGTTGAGAGCATTGCTCAAGCCATCTGCAATGGCAAGGACGTGCAAACGTCTTCTCGAGATCTTGTACCAGTTGTAAAATTACTTCATTTTGAATCGTTCCAGTTTTGTAATCTCCAATGTTTGGTCGATTTGTACTGTGACGAACTAGGGTCTTGTAAGGTCACCTCATCCTTTATCGAAAGTGTATCGTCCAACATTACCTCCATGGATGATTTCTGTACCGTTCTGAATGTTCCTCTCCATAAGATAGAGGTAGAGGGTGGCAGCAGTGACCGTGCCAAGGCAGTGAGGATGTTCCAAGAGTGGCAGACACAGAGTGACGGAACCTACCAGTGTCTCAGAGGACAGATGGACAAATACAGTATCTTCTCAGGAAGAAACATACTGGTAGGTTTACAATGTACTGCTCCCTCAGTCTATGTCAATTTTCTCTTCTTCTATATATCGCAGGAGATTGCCGTAGTTCAGAAACGTTCTCTGCCTCCACCGTCGAGAGCTGTCTCATCTGCAGCACTGGTATTTTTTCTCTCATCGACCATCGTTTTAGTAGCTAGGTGTTTTTCTCTTTCTTTCTCTCTAGAATGGCAGCATACGATGATTTTGAAGGATATCACCTTCACAACTGTTCCATTGCATCTCTGCACTCTGTTCATATCAAGATTGGTTTATATAGACATTGTGACTGTTAATAAATTACACGTTATTATCTTATGTTCAAGCTATTGGCTGTATTATATATACAGCAATGCTTTATGACTACAAGTACAATGTCGACAAAAGAAGGCAAGACGCATGCGCATTGGTTGCAACTCCGACCCCGCCTCCTCATTATTTGCAGAGGGGGAGCTGTTCTGTCGTCTATCGATTACTATAGCTAGTCTCTGTCTAGCTATAGGAAGACGAATTTTGGTACTAGCTAGTTCCGGAGAAATGAACGGCGCGGGAAAAGTACGTGCTATTCACTGTCTTGTATGAGCATTGAGCGTTCGCTACTAGGTGGAACTGTTTTCAGCCTGTCAACGAGGAGAGTTGGAGACTATCAGGAGGCTGTCAGACCAAGTGACTATAAGGGACATTCGATATGGATATGGCCAGAGTCCACTGCACATCGCCGCGAGGTTGGTGGCCGCTTGGCCGTTGTATATAAAGATGAGTACACTGGTCTATAGCTAATGTTTTTGATACCAATTAGCAGTGGTACTCTGAATTCATACGGCATTAGGTTATCTTATTGTAAGAAGAAAACCTGTGTTTGTTTATAGCTTCTATTGAGAGAACATTAGCACCGACTTTCTTGAACAAATTTTCCTACTGATGTCAGTGACGTGTACTTGATGGAGTGGTTAGTCCAGCATCACCTGTTCGGTCCAGATATAGCTAGCTAATAGCCCTGCCTCTGATCTAGCTAATAGCACTGCCACTGATCTATGGGAGAGCTAGTACTATATAGGGTTCAGTAATCAATCTGACTATAGCATATGGATGGCTTTATACCCTGGGTAATTTTCCACACACCACAGATCCCATTCCACTCACCAAACAGACTCAATGTTTGATAATCTGTGTAAGTCAAAATAGCAGCCAGGAAGGAGCTGTGAATTCTAGGATCCTTAGCTACACGCTATAGTAATTCATTCATGGTGGAGGAGGAATCACATTGTGATTAGTGAAGTGAAATGATAGTGTTAGTCTAGTTCATGCTCCACTGCATAGTTATGGACCCATGAACGACAATACCCCCATACTCGTACTGTTCCACTAATTGTTGTCACGATATACACGTAGTTGTCCATGCTTGTTATAGAAACTCATTTTCTTCCCAGAGAGTGGAAAGTGCAGGTCTCAAATCTGACATTATGTCAGGGTATAGCTATGTAGCTCCTGCCTTTCTAGGTTGTGTCCAGTTGTGAGCGTGTCTTTCACTGTGTATGTATATAGTGTATCCTGGTTGTATTTTGCATTCAGTGTTTGCGTAAGTCAAGTTGGGGTAGGAGAGGTGTATATACTTTGCTGCAGAGAGGGTCATCTGGACGTGGTGCGATATCTGGTGACTGAAGCTGACTGTGATCCTGATGTCAGAGATGATGATCAGGACACTCCCCTTCACACTGCCTGCAGGTATACATACCCATGTTGTAATGTAGTCAGTAACCCCCAAAAGGACACCTGTACAAGTTTGTACAAGTTTAAGGAATTATCGACTCTCACGCTACAAAATTCCATGATATGTCTTTGATTGGTTTTTGAAAACAAAAACAGTCTTAGCTGAGGAGCTTTCAATATGCCATTCCACACATCATAATACAATCAATAATGAGTAGCAAAATTGCAATATGATTGCAGAGATTATCCCACCAATACCACTTTTATCTTTCAATTCAGTAATGTGTTCCTGTCGCATCCAAAGTGTTAAATGAACCTTTTCGTTCCCCTAAATTTTGGATATTTGGTGTATCACTATGCGGTGATCGTGCCAACATTACCACATAGTGATACACGTAATATCTTAGTCCTATCTTTTTGCTAGGTTTGGTCGTCTGGATGTAGTGAGATATCTGGTGGCAGAAGCCCACTGCGATACCGATGTCAGAGATAAAGATGGTGAAACTCCTGTTCACACTGCCTGCTGGTGAATTGCCCTTTTCCACTCTTTTTACAGCTTGTTCAATACTGTATGTTCTCTGGATTGCTGTGTCAGGAGTGATCATCTGGATGTGGTGGGATACCTGGTGAATGAAGCTCACTGTGATCCTAATGTCAAGAGTAAAAAAGGAGAAACTCCTCTCCACAGAGCTTGCAGGTTAATAGGCTGATGTATGACCTATTGTACATGCACAGGTACAATAGTACTAATTTGAGCCCAGAATAGCAATAGAGGGGAAAACACAAGATTTTCACACGATCACTGTGCGAATCTGTCTGCCCTCTTTCTGGTTTTACGTGTGCAGGGAAGGTCGTCCGGATATAGTGAGGTATTTGGTGACAGAAGCTGGTTGTGATCCAATGCAAGGGACGGTAGTGAACAGACCCCTCTCCACTGGGCCTGCAGGTGAGCTCAATCTGCAGTCGATCGTTCATAGATGTGTGCTGTTCATTCCGTAAGAAATACGTGTCAGAAACCGCTGGAAGTTCACACTCGTCTTCTCTCGCAAAATAATGTTCTTCTATTATTTGTGTGTGTGTGAAATACTGCTGCTATCCACCCTTTAACATGTTTCCGTTTTTTAACCTTTAACCATCATCACACCATTTGTAGCTGACTCAGTGAACCAACTAGTGGCTCTGTTTTCTTGTTCCAGGACGGGTCATCTGGACATAGTGAGGTGTCTGGTGGACAAAGGTCAGTGTGATCCAAACTCCATGGATGGCGACGAGTCGTTTCCCCTCCACACTGCTAGCAGGTGAGCTGCTCTAACGACGGCCACGCAATACCTGTATTTTAATTATTCAAGTTTTGGTTAGTTGCTCTCTAGTCCCAATAAGCACGTGAGTACCAGTCATATCTACTTACAGTGCACTTCCACAAAGTAGATTGAAATGGACTTTATGTCCATGGTGTGTAGCTATAGTATATTTTCGTGTCCTCTGTCTGCTAAAAAGAAAAGATGCAAGCCCCTGTTTTAGTTTGGCAGATATGGAGACACACTCTTCAGGGTTTCGAAATTTCAAGCGGGGGAAACAGTTCTGGGTAGGGCCCAAACCTGTATTTACAACTCCTGCAGTTCCTGATCTGTGAAGTAGCTGATTTGGACGGTGGGAGATTAGGGTTCAAGGGGATACCCCACTTCCGTGTAATATGAAACCGTTCTTAGGCTCTCGTGCCACTCTGAGCAAAGTAGAGTGTTGAGTGGGGATGCCCGTTTCCATAACTGTAACTAGAGGGGATCTTTGAAAGAAGGTCGTACGGATTCTCATTCAGCCAGCAAAGAAGTAACTGCTGCTATAGAGGAGTTGTGTTTACAGAAACACTGGAAAATGTGTATAATACCATCAAGCATCCTGATGTGATTTTGATTACGTAATGGAATCTATTACCTTACCTGGAACTGTGTCACTGCGTGTCTTGTCCCTAACAGCCAAGTGTAATCCAAATACGAGAAATACTGATCATTGAATGTATAATTATACTTCCCTGCGTCCGCACGTAAACATCAACAAGGCTACTAGAGAAAACACCACTCATGCATGAGTATATATAACTCAAGGGGGAAAGAGCTGCCCACAGCTAGTTATAGAGAGCTGTTACCCACCGAGCTGTTATACCAGAGCAGCTCATCACGCAGGGGCATTTCTTTTTAGGTTTGGTCAACTGGATGTAGTGAGGTATCTGGTGACTGAAGCTCAGTGTGATCCAAACATCAGAAACAAAGACGAAGAGACTCCAATCCACACTGCCTGCCTGTGAGTTGTCCTGTTTTAATTCTTTGTGGTGGTGACCTATTGTAGCTGCATATCATGTTCCAGGGGTGCTCATCTGGAAGTGGTGAGGTACCTGGTGAGTGAGGCTCACTGTGATCAGGACTCAAGAAACACTGCCGGCGAGAGTCCTCTACATACTGTCTGCAGGTCAGACAGATTGCAGCCAGTAGTTGACCCAATACACAGCCTTTACCTTGGTATTTGACCACCATGATCACGGGGTGTAAAGCGCAAGGCAAGTGCATATCATTCAAAAACACCCAGGACAACACGTTGTTAAGGACAAGTGCTCTACCACTAAGCTACCAGGGCAGGCTGGACTCAAAGCATTACACAACACAAGGCAAAGGCAACCCCCAGAGTCTTTTTGGATGCTTAGTCTCAGCTCTTTAGAGATATAATAATTGTTCGTGTGTCCCTTGTTTAAGGACCCGTGTGTTGTAGGGAATATGTAGCTCCTGTAGCAATTCTTACATGTACTGACTTGTTCCAGGAAGGGTCATCTGGATATAGTGAGGTATCTGGCGGGTGAGGCTAGCTGTGACCTGAATGCCAGGGACACCAATGGATACACTCCTCTTCACACTGCCTGCAGGTATAATCTACTCTATGTGGATGCATCACAGTCTACAGCCATACTATGCCCAATAACAATGTATTCTGTTACCATATAGCCCTATAGCCCCACCCCCTTTAAGCTAGTCTTCCTGTATTGTGGCATTACTGGACACTTATGTCGACGCGTGCATGCGCAGCCAGGGTTAGAGTACTTGGTCTGTCTGTGTTGCGGAGCAATTTTGTTAATTGCCTAAATTACAGGGGCCCCAATCTTTTCTGCCTGTCTGTCTGTTACCACGTTTTCTTCCACCACGCGCAACAAACCTGCCAAAAAGTGACACCATCGGTTTCAGTGCTACACTTGCTTCATTTAAAACTGGCGATTTTTTCATAAAAGTGCTACATTCAAAAGCTAGGCCACTCCAAGTTGCATTCCGGTTTCTGGTCAGGGCCTTTTGAAGTCAAGATGTGGGCAGGCGGGATTTACTCATTATGTCATTAGTCCACCTAGTAATATGACCACAAAAATTGATAGTGGGAAGACAGTCAAAACGAGACAGTGCAAAGCCATTAGTACATACAGTGCAGCATGCACAGTTAGTGTGTTCTCTTGAAATGGGTGCGGGCGGCGGACCAGAAACCGGTATACAACTTGGAGTGGCCTTATATAGCATGAAAACCAAGTCAATAAGCCAATATGCTAACTAGCACAGGCTTACCTCGACCAGGTCCGCTCGCTCTGTGTATCTTGAAGGCACAAGAAGTCACTACGAAGGGCGTGTATCAACTCACGCATGCTATCTACTACTGTAGTTGGCCCTTGTCGACTCTCCATGAGTTATAATATTCTAGCAGGAGACCACGAATACTGCATAGCCCAGCCCATCAATTAGCGGTACAGCACATGCGCAGTTTGCTGAGGGTTTGCACTTCAGTGCTTTTCATTACTCAAGTTTGCTTTATATATTTTTCCACTCTTGTGCTAACAAAAAAAGCAAAATCGTTGACACCCTTGTTTACGGGGGAGAGCGAAATTTGGGCGAGATAGGGATAAGTGCAGCAAGATAGAAGATATTACCATTCCATACTCAAACTGTAGTTAAAGTATTAGGGATAGTTGGTTTGTCTCTTTTTCCACTCTTGTGCTAACAAAAAAAGCAAAATCGTTGACACCCTTTTTTACGGCGGAGAGCGAAATTTGGGCGAGATAGGGATAAGTGCAGCAAGATAGAAGATGTTGCCATTCCATACTCAAACTGTAGTTAAAGTATTAGGGATGGTTGGTTTGTCTTTTTTTCCACTGTTGTGCTAACAAAAAAAGCAAAACCGTTGACACCCTTATTTACGGGGGGAGAGCGAAATTTGGGCGAGATAGGGATAAGTGCAGCAAAATAGGAGATGTTACCATTCCATACTCAAACTGTTGTTATCAATCAATCAATCATTGCACGGACCCACTAGGTCACTTTCTTGCTAGTAGTATATAGGTGTGTTCAGGTGTCCATTTTTGTTCGTGCAGGATGGGTCGTCTGAATGTGTTGAAATGTCTAGTGAATGAGTTTCAATGTGATCCTCACGTCAGAGATAATGAAGGAGAGAGTCTCCTACACATTGCCGTCAGGTGAGGTCAACATGTAAGGTGTTATACATGTGAACACAGGAGTAAGTCACTCCCCATTTCAATGCTGTGCACTAATCATATACGTGTGCCCTAAACAGCAATCACAACAACCTGACCTTACTAGGTATAGGTTTGATGATGGCAAGTATGCTCCTGCGAATAGAGTATACTTGCCATCACTTGGTATAAGTCCTATATATAAGGAAAGCAAAGTGGGTGTTGATTAGGGAGTGACTCAGCCCTCTGCTACAGCTAAGTGGGTGCTACTACTGGCCAATACATCATATCCCTATAATGCACCATTACCTAATTATATCAAACACTGGTAAACCTACTATAGTAATGTACGAAAAAGGCCTTTGTTTTCCTGGCAATATTGAGCACTTGAAACTCTCCTATATAGTCACAGGGGAGACTTCAAACGAATGTTATGTAAACACAGAGAAGGTTCTATTAACCCTGTTGTACCAGTGATGAGTGGACGATACAAGGGTTATAATCTTAGCTTCATTTTCGCAGTATGGACGACAGAGCTGTGGTTGCGTATCTACTAGCAGAGTGTAGCGCTGACCCCAACTGTACCGCCTACAACGGATCCACACCCACGTCCCTCGCAGAGAGCTCGGAAGTCGTCAAACTTCTCCTGGAACATGGTGGAGTGACTAACAATTCCACCAAGCGGTTTTTAGCGGCCCAAGAGACTGTCCCTCGCGTACTGACCACCAGAGATACAGCCAGCAAGGTGCCTAGTGTCCCTGGGTTTACCACAGAGAGATGAGGAAACAGACAAGAGTGCCCTCATAACAGCTCTGACAACCGAGGTGAAGCAGCAAGTAAAAGGCTGGCCGTCTAAGAAGTATAAGGAAACTAGCATCTGAGGAGACACGAGTTGAAAGTCATAGCCTCCAGACTCTCCTCGTTTATGTCAACAGTTTTGTTCAGACATCAAAAAATAATATTCACCTGACATGTTTTTTTGTTAGCACAAGAGTGGAAAAAGAGATAAACCAACTCTCAACTGTAGTTACAGTATTAGGGATAGTTGGTAGCGGTTACCGCACATGCTTTGCTAACAAAAAAGCAAAATCCTTGACACCCTCATTTATGAGGGAGAGTGAAGTTTTGGCGAGATAAGGATAAGAGCCAGCAAGATAAAGATGTTACCATTCCATACTCAAACTGCATCTTCTATATACCTCGCTGCACCTATCCCTATCTCGCCCAAATTTTGCGTCCTCCCCTACATGTGTGTGAACAGTTTAGCATTTTTTTGTAGGAACATGAGTATAAGATGAAACAAACCAACCATCCTTAATAGTTTTGCTACAGTTTGAGTATGGAATGTGGTACCATCTTCTCTCTCGCTGAACCTATCCCTATGTCACCAAAATTTCACATCCTCCCCTACATAATGTGCCAAATATTTAACAATTTTTGTAGGCACAAGGACATGAGTAGAAATAGAGAGAAACAAACTATCCTTAACACTTTTGCTAAAGTTAAAGTATTGCCATCTTCTCTTTCGCTGCACCCATCCCTATCTCACCCAGCAAATTTCGAGTCCTCTGCTACATGAGTATGCTAATGATTTAGCATTTTTTGTCAGCACATAAGTTGAAATAGAGACAAACCAACTATCCATAACACTTTTGCTACAGTTTCAGTATGGAATGGTACCATCTTCTACCTCGCTGAACCTATCCCTATCTCGCCAAAATTTCGCGCCCCCTCCTATATAAGTGTGTCAAAGATTTAACAATTTTGTAGGCACATGAGTAGAAATAGAGACATAGATACTATCCTTAATGCTTTTGCTAAAGTTAAAGTATGGAATGATACCATCATTTCCCTCGCTACACCTATCCCTATCTCACCCAAACTGCGTGTCCTCTCCTACATGCATTTTTTTGTAGGAACATGAGTAGAAAAAGATACAAGCCAACTATATATCCTTAATACTTTTGCTACAGTTGCAGTATGGAATGGTACCATCTTCTCTCTCGCTGCACCTATCCCTATTTCGCCCAAATTTCGCGTCTTCCCCTACATGTGGTCATCGGTTTAGCACTTTTTGTAGGAACATGAGAAGAAGAATAGACAAACCAACTATCCTTAACACTTGTGCTACAGTTTGAGTATGGAATGGTACCATATTCTATCTCGGTGGAGCTATCCCTATCTTACCAAAATTTCGCACCCTCCCCTACATCTCACCCACATTAATTGTGTGAACGATTTAGCATTCTGAGTAGAAAAAGGGACAAACCAACGATCCTTAATACATTTGCTACAGTTGGAGTATGGAATGGATATACCATCTTCTATCTCGCTGCACCTTTCCCTATCTCACCCAAATTTCATGTCCCCTCCTACATTAGTGTGTCAAAGATTTGTAGGCACATGAGTAGAAATAGAGACAGAGAAACTACTTGCACTTCTGCATGCTTGTGTCTTGGAATCTACCACTGATGCTGCTGAGCGAAGATCCGAGGGAGGAGTTGAGAGTAAGGGATCTATTAGTGAGTGACCTTAACCAGCGGTAGACGCATGTGTCCAGAGCTTCCATAAGAATTTATATGGGGGTTATAATACTAGGCACTTATACTTAAAATTCTGCTTTATTAATTTTAAGAAGATACCGGTATCCATTAAATCTCAATCATAAAAATATCAAAGTAAAATCCTGTCAGTTTTGCATCTTAGCGATGTTTTCACTTCTGTCCAGTTTTGAGTTGAAAATCATTTGGTGGAAGTATGCAGTTAAAAACAAACATGCACGGAGTCAGACAGGCATAATAATAATAATGAGAGAGTTGGAGAAGAGAGATATTAGGCTGGAGGATTAGGAAGAGGCTGGTATTGCTGCTCATTTCTGATTCTCCGTTTGTATGGACGGACTGCCACGACGACTACTACTAGGATCACCACTGATAGCAGCAGGACCAGGAACACCCTGCAGCAGTCACAGTGAACATGATGCAACATCAACATGATTGATATAGACTTAATCTTAATCCTATTATGAGACTACAGGCAGATAGTTACTCAAAACATTGTACGCCAGGAGTTTTTCTGTGTATTGCTGTCCATGCAGGTTGAACTGTACTATGTATAGATGTGGTCTTGAAGTCTGATTGGATAGTACATGAGGCGTAGCATCTTCTTGATTATTATAGTCACAACAGTGCATTAATTCTTGACTATATTATTACATGTGTAGCTACACACGAGGGACACCACCCATACTGAAACACCCATACACTAGTGTTAGTTGGTGGAGTTGTTAGCACCAATAACTAACACACAGTCAAAGCTTTAGTATTACATAGTATGCTGACCAGGATCCGACCACAGCCACTGCAATCAGTGGGGTCTGATCAGGGGGTTCCTTCTTCCATGCCACATGCGACGTGAGCAGTTGAAATTCCTGGACAAGGAAACACAAATGCATGTTGTTACGGCGGGGATCATGTGATCAGGACATGGACACTGTCTTGCCCCAATGTTCATCAAGACCGTTTGAAATCAGTGAGAGTTACACGTATGATTGTCCATTACGTCATTGTGAAATTCTTGTAAACCTGTCTGACTTTCTCATATTTTTGTTGTTTTTTTTGTTGTTTTTTTGGTGTATGTCTTTGCGTATAATTATACCTTACTGCCTTTTCTTTTGTTTTTTGTGTGTCTTACACCTTTCTTTCACCTTTCTTTTATTAGTCATGCATGATCAGATCGAAAATAAATTATTTGAGTATGGCCTGGGAATACTATAATATTATATGAACACATCAATTATGGCAATCAATAACTTACATACTCTACAGTCGCACTTCCGCTGTGAACTAACTTGACGAAGGTAAATTCATACCCAAATACATTCTCCCTGTAGGCAACGTTAACAGTCGAAATTCTGTAGTGATGGGAGAGAGAGAGAGAGATGTGGAATGAGGAGCAGTAAATGCACAGAGTGAGACAGAGGTAGGGGGATGAAAGCACAGAAAAAGAGGCGAGAAAAGGCACACATAGAGACGGGGAGGGGGGTTTGTCTGCAAGTAAGGTATGATAAATCAGGATCGTTCTATATGATTAGGCCAGTACGACTGCTACATAAAGGCAGGAGAGGGCAAAGGACAGCAGACAGAGGGGAGGGGTGGGCTGGGCAAGAGAAGGACTGCATACTATGGCAGAAGGGGGATTTTAAGAAGGGATAGAATTCAAACATACAGATATGTGGTAGAATTAATCTCATCTCCATCATAGTAGTGGATTGTAAAGTTGAGTGGAGAGACCGAATTGATACTCCATTTGTCGTCAGTAGTCACTACTCTTCCGAGACCAAAATAATCGCCGGTTTTGTTATCATACGCACATATCTGTTGATGAATGGTGTTATAACACATTATACAGACCAGAGGGATAATACTACGTGCTGAGTTAGACTATACTATGCCATAGCACAGTGGCTTGAGGTTTGCCTTTGTGTTGAACTACCAGCCAAAGTTGCCCTGGTAGCTCAGTTGGTAGAGCGCTCGCCTAAACTGCAGAGTGTTGTGGGTTTGAATCCCACCTAAGGCAGCTCTTCTTTTTTCCTTCGTCGAAGTCCTGGGTGTAGTTGAATTGTTTGCCTTGCTACCTCACTTCGTTTGTTGACACTTGCTACACAACGTCAATTGTAGTAGCTATACAGTGAAACTCTGAAATCAGAGACTTTTGAGACATTTCTCATATTGTGCCAATGCAGTAGGACATTATCAATGACAATTCCGAGGGTCGGTTTGTGGAGGTTCCACAGTACGGTAAAACATACCATGAACTGTTTGTCATTTCCAGAGCACTGGAAGGTATAGCAAGGACTGAATTGGAAGAAGACTCCGTCTGATGAGGTGCTTAGCCTGTAAATAAACCAAAATTGTAGGAGAACCGATGCATCACTAATATGCACTACAAAACAAGGCCACTGGGGATATTTAGAGCCTAGGGAATTTTCATACTTATAATATCGAGCAAACGTAGATGCTAGGAACTGCAACATTAGCTCCATACCAACATTCCACTTGCACACTGCATGTGACCACATACATCCACAGGCCTCACGTACGTGTTTGTCGAATTGCACTTGCCTTTACACCCCGTGATTGCACTACTAACATACAACACAACATACGTACGTAGTATCTGTGGTAGCTACAACCTATATACCTGTTTTGGTTCTCGAAGTAGGTAAGGTCTACTTCGTGTTGCTGGGTTTTACACTCACAGGGATGGTTTCTGCTAACAGAGCAAGTGGATCCTCTAGCGCAGCTATAGGTCCATGCCGTCATAACAGCCACCAAAAACCAGTCCCTGAAAGACATCCCTCTGTCGCGCGTCGCTACTCTCCTTCAGTGGAGGTTACAAAGAAGAAGAAGAAGAAGTCGTTAGAACTTTGACCCGTGCACCAGCCCCACCTACCTACCTGTACCGGACCCCTTGAGTAACACGCATGCGCACAAGTACGAACTAACACAAAAAGTCTCTGGTTATACTAGAAGTATATAGCTAATCAAAATGTCCATAAAACAGTGTCAGAAGAGGTGATTATCCAGTATTTCACCGCCCCTCTCAAGTATTGGGGTGTGGTCTGATGGATAAGGACTCGCAGACTAGTCGTGAGGTCAGCGGTTCGATCCCGACTCACGGTTCTTTTTATATACCATTATGTAGAGTGTTGATATAAGAGGAACGTTTTTTCATAACCTCTCGTGGCCAGCCCGAGTGGCTAAGTGGTTAGAGACGTGGGGACTGACACATAAGGTGCCTGGTTCGAATCCCGGACCCGCACTGAAACTGTTAGATGGTCCAGAGCACTGGCTGGGAACAGCTCTGGTTCCTCCCCTTACCCATGAATCTACCACTGACCCACATACATCTCACAGTTTGGCATTGCACTGCGTCCATAGACGTCTGTCTGGAGAGATGTAAGGGTGGCTTTTCCCCCCAACTTTCAAATGTTTTTTTCCCCATGCACACCCAGTAATGTTTATAGGTCAGAACCTTTTAACATAACTATTAATGGGATTGCCCTATGTTATTACCATTTTTTAGTGTCCAGTGCACATGAAGGAGAGTATAATAAAATAGTCGGCTCTCATGTATGTATGATACCGGTTCAGATTTTAAAAAAATAGCACCACAAAAACTATGAATAATTATTATAATGGTGACTTAGTGGTGAGGATTATGTAACCATAGGTGCGCATGCGCTCCGCCCTTCCGTCTGTCTAGGTCTGTTACCACTACTGTCAAAAGATGACTATGACAACACATAGCCCGGCCTATAAATTACCAGAACCGTTGTGCCAAGGGGTTGGACTTCAGTGCTTTTCTACGCAGCTCAGTCAAATATATATACCATGCATGTCAATAAAATATATACTAGACTCTAGTGACATGATGCAATCCATAAACTATGACTCAGTATGGGGTTTGCTGGAAGTGGAGTTTGGAAGTAATCCTGCAGTATATAGAGTGATAGAACTGAGGTACATAATCAGCAGAAATGTGACACATACCCATTTGTCTCGATCTTCTGATGGCACTAGTGATTCTGTTCTGCATCTTCTGACATATCCCTGATATATAGTAGAGAGTGCACACCAACAGAGCGAATGTCAGCAGTGGATTAATGACAACAAATTAACCGAGCTTGGCTAAAAACCAATGCAGATGGTGAAGAAGTTGAACCGCTGACTGATTAGATATTATATGGACCCGACATAGCTACTGAGATATTACACTCACTCCCAGAGAATAGAGAGACTTCAAACTTTACTAAATCTTTAACATAGGAAGAGCAGAACTAGGAACAACATGGACATAGTCGCTTACAGACTAAAGGTCTCGTGCGACAGTCCAACTTATTGAGGTAGACACACGTACTATTGCTACGTCCTAAGAAGGTCAGTACTCAGTGATGTGGTGGATGGAATTATTACCAGTCTGCCTGCGGCCAATGATGAGACACAGGGATGGGAGTGAGGAACTGCCTGAGTAACAGCACGTCTCTGTAGCCAAAATTGTCAGAACATCCGCAACAGCACACACCCCTCCCCTCACAATCTAGAGGTAATGATTGAGCGGAAATCTGGGGTATAAACATGAAAACAAAGATTGAGTCCAGGCGATCACGAACCCCTTCTGAAAATTCTACGAAACATCCGTGATATTGCAGGCATTGGTGCGATTTCGACAGTTGAGAACAGTAGAGAACTTTATTTAGCAGTCACGGTATTGGCAGTCATACCTCCACTGGTGGCCGTGGTACTAGAGACTGTGGAACACGTTCAAATCTCTGAACATCTGAAAACAAACCACCAACACTATATAGCAACGCACGAGAAGGCGTGGCCACCCTGAATTTTATTCCTTACTTGCTGGGTTGTGGGCATATCGCACTGGTTGAACCCTCCAGAGACACCACTTTTCACTGACTGACAATATGCGAGCCGATGCCATAGGCACGTCAACACAACAGCCAAACACTTCTGAGTTCGGCTTCGCCACGAGGGAATGCGCATGCGCAATTAAATTAATGCCCGCCGTATAATTGTTGTATTGTAGGCGCGGAGAGATGGTGGTGTCGTGTAGTGTAAAAGAAAAAGTCGTTGGAATGCATGCGCACCGGTGAGTCTGTGGAAGGAACCAGACGAGAAGCTGGCTCAAAGTCATACACAAAAGTCTTGTGTACAGATGACGCCCACCCTCGACAATCGTAGAGGCAAGCCATAAGATCAACTCTGTGCTAGCGGTGTGTGTGTGTGGGCCCACTCCGGCTCAGCGCTGCGTTTGGTACGCGAGAGTCCTTGGTTTCAGCCCATCGATCCAGCGACGAGGAGCGCCTAAGGAGAGGAGCGTGGCGGGGACAACGAGTATAGACCAGGGCTGATTGAACTGGAAACGGCCTATCTCATTGAGCGGTAGATGGAAGACACGAAAACACGAAAACATGGCGGAAGCTCGCCAGGTCTCGGGGACTAGAGCAGGGGACCGAGGGCGCGGAGTCGGCGGCACCCGAAAGGAAAACGTGGAGAAGGCGAGGGCAGGGCGGCGGTGGGGGAAACAGACATTGCAATGGTGAGAAGAGGCGACAGGGAGGCCCCTCACC